GTACGTCCGTCCGTCCGTCCGTACGTCCGTCCGTCCGTCCGTACGTACGTACGTCCGTCCGTCCGTCCGGGCAATAACTCAAATACCGTTGGCCCGATTTTGTTCATATTTTGTACACATATACCCTATGGGGGTAGAAGTTCTGCTCGAAAGCCGATTTTCAAAATGGCCACTCATTTCAAAATGGCGGCCATTTTAGTGCCGAATTTACAGTAATTTAGGTGCAATATGTAAAACTGTAATAGCAATATGTTTTAGATGTAAAAAAATTATATAGGACATTAATAAAGCTAGAAATGTAGATATTAAAGAAGCACATGGCAGCCATCTTGAAAAATGGCGGCCTTTACTCGTTATTTTACGATTTTTGCTGTAACTCGAAAAGTAGTGGAGCGATTTTGTTCATATTTGGTATTTGAATACTATAAACATTGCACACTGTCTAAAGACACTTTTGGTAGAAGGTGGCCATTTTGAAAAATGGCCGCCATTTTGAAAAATGGCCACCATTTTAACGTATTTTACTATAATTCGAAAAGTAGTGGAGCGATTTTGTTCATATTTGGTATGTGACTACTATAAGCATGACACACGGTCCTATGACACTTTTGGTAGAAGGCGGCCATTTTGAAAAAATTTTTGAAAAATGGCCGCCATTTTTACGTATTTTGCTATAACTCGAAAAGTAGTGAAGCGATTTTGTTCATATTTGGTATGTGAATACTATAAGCATGACACACTGTCCTATGACACTTTTGAAAGAATGTGGCCATTTTGAAATTTTTTTTGAAAAATGGCCGCCATTTTAACGTATTTTACTGTAACTCGAAAAGTAGTGAAGCGATTTTGTTCATATTTGGTATGTGAATACTGTAAGCATGGCACACTGTCTAATGACACTTTTGGTAGAAGGCGGTCATTTTTCAAAATGGCCGCCATTTTAACGTATTTTACTATAACTCGAAAAGTAATGGAGCGATTTTGTTTATATTTGGTTTGTAAATACAATAAGCACGGCACACTGTCTTATGGCACTTTTGGTAGAAGGTGGCCATTTTGAAAAATAGCCGCCATTTTAACATTTTTTTACTATAACTTGAAAAGTAGTGGAGCGATTTTGTTCATATTTGGTATATGAATACTATAAGCATGGCACATGGTCTTATGACACTTTTGGTAGAAGGGGGCCATTTTGAAAAATGGCTGCCATTTTTGCTATATACTTTGTTTGTAAAAATGCCATCCATGGCTGTTCGATGGGATTCGCTACGCTTTGGCGTTGCCGTTGTTCTGGTTTAATTTGATCACAGGATAGTCAAATGTTCAGTATGTCATGGTTTATTGGCTGTGGCCACCCTGCTTACTGTTTAAAGGTTTTACTTTCAGTATTTTCCCAAATTTTTTAAAACAACGGATTTTTATTTTGGTCGATTTTTTCTGTCCACTTATAAATAAAAATTCAAGCCAAATTAAGCATATGTGTACATGTATCTGAAAAGCACTGCTACTGTACTACATGTATATATACTGTATATTGTTGAAGATGTAAACTATCAAACTACAAATGCACTGGACATGCAACTGTGAACATGATGGGTAGACAATATTTATATTCTATAATATTACTAGTAATACATTTCTAGCTGTACATCAATTCTGTTCCAACATGGGTTCAATTTTATCATTCATGCCATCTTTGAAGATTCAGTCTTCAATACTATCGGACTATAGTCTTGGCCTGTGATTTTAATCTATCTATTGATTTAAAATAAACTCGCTTGATAAAAACTACTGGTTTTATTCAGATATGATTTGTGCATAGTCACTATCTGAGGGGGACGCTTTCATTTCTGATAAAAAAAACAATGCCCCGTCGTTTGCGGATGGGACTGTGTATTTAATTATTATGTTGAAGATGAGCGACATTTTTGAATATCTCTCATCATTATGAAATTGTTGTACTTGATCATGATGTACCCCACTTAATTATGTCTTTCATCAAAACTGTCGAAAAATTCTACAAAGTCACTCGACCACGTGATGATGCCTTGTTCAATCTTACCAAGCATGACTCATGGCAACATCCACAACTTGATTTTCCCATTCTCAGTGTTATCTGATGATTATTTCCATGTAACCGTAGAACAAGAAATCGGGGACAGTTAAAGCGTTTGCTGATTTACAATCTGTCTATACACATAAAATGGGTCCATTCCACTGGTACTTTGGCAATGTCGTTGATAGGTCCCATCCTGTCCCTTGGTTAGACCGCTTACCTCGAAATATGTAAACCCCTTTCTCATAGTTCGATTCGTCGTCTGCGCTATTATCTGTATCAGCTTGGCGTCCCTAATGCGTCTAGATTGATGTGTGGAATTTTGTGATCGGTGTTCAAGACTCCATCCGTCTGAACGACGTTGGTCTCACTGGATCGCATGGAATGTTCTCTGATTCGGATGTACTTGGAATAGCTTCTACCCAATGCGTTGCCATTTCCCTGGCATCGGTCCTGGGGGGCACAGGGGCGGATCTGGGAACCAACAAGGGGGGCCCAAACTTGTGATCTGAGAAAATTTTTGTCGATACTCAATTCAACCAAACTGTCCTTAATTATCTACTGTAGGATATTGAGATGATTACGAAGCATATGTGTATCTTAGTTTGTTCGAACCAGCTTGGGAAAATTGTTAAAGAAATCCCTAGGAATTGGTACCAAAAAGAAAATACTGTGTTTGATGGGTCTATTAAAAAAATTATATAAAAAAATTGGTTAATTTTTATCAAATAAAATTTGTACAATTGAAAAGATGACTATTGCATTGTTGCTGTCATATTTCTGGATTACTGGTTACAGAGAGAAAAAATGTTGAATTAAGTTCTCCATATCGATACCAATCCTTTTTCAAATCAACAAGTATGATCCATGTTTTATTCAGTTATTGTTTTTGGTGTTTGAGATGCGCGAACTGACTTCGCCATGACCCCTGAAGTTCTCCCTTAAAACGTGTAGCTTAACCTCCCTTGATTCAGTTTCTAAAAAGCATTATTGTTAAAGTTCTGATGTTTTGAATTTAACAGCTTTGGAAATGAGGAATATCACTAATTCCATAAGGAATCCTCTGTTTCTTCTGATTGAAACTCTGACAGGGAACTGATAAAAAGGAGAATAGCGGATGGATCAAATCATTCGAACATTCAGTGTCTTTTTGTTTCATACATGAACATCTTAGTTGCTGAGAACATTAATGTGACTCTTCGATGTCAAATTTAGCAATCAATTTCTCAAATATGGGGAAAATTTGGAAATTGTGATTAATATACAGACTACAGAGTCATATAGTTTATGGATGAACATTAAATCAATATGCATATGAAATAAATGTAAACTGTATTTCTAAAACAAATATTTTACATGTACAATGACAAATACATGTAACTACTACATGTTTGGATTAAAATAAAATGAATATGCATTTGAGCTAATGCAAATTGTGTTGCAAAAACTACAATATTAATTTGTTTACATGACAAAATAGCTACTTCATATACAGTATAGATTAACACTAGATAACAGCAACGCCAAAGTGTAGTAAATCCCATCGAACATGGCTGCCATTTTTACAAAATCCTTGTACTATTTTTTCAGTTAAAGTACAAAAAGTAATAAAATAACAAACGTAAAAATGGCCATCATTTTAAAAATGGTCGCTCACTAGTTGAAATCGTTAAAATAATTAATTTTTCGAAAACTTGTTTATTCTGTATCCCAATTCCTAAGGATGTATTAAAAATTCAAAGGTAAAGAGGCTTTAACACGCAGTTCAATGGGGGAGCTAAGGTTGCCAAACTATTGGCAACCTTATTGTGCATCGCCCAATAGAAATCATTTTGTTTATTCAAACTACTTTGTTTTATTTACAGCACATTTCATAAGGCCTATTGCTATGTACAAATACATATTTTTCCAATTAAACAAAAATAGAAGATCCTGAAACTTCCCATAAAATATGAAATTGATTTGTCAAAATAAAAATCTCACTTTTATAAATGTGTGACTATCCAGGGGCGTAGCCAGCTTTCAGTCAGAGGAGTGTGATCGCCAAAAAAATTCGCTTTTCAGTCAGGGGGGTTGTGATTGTGGCATAAACAAGCCAGATGCAACTTCCTTCAAAATTGAGCGAGAAGGTTCAAATAAAAAGCATTTTAAAGCTCTTTTCTTCTCCCTTCTCATGGTTTTATTTTTATTGGTTATGCGATCGCACCCACACCTCCTGGCTACGCCTATGCTTAATCTATACTATTGCTACATAAACAGGCAGAGGTATTTACACAGTAACTTCAACTTGTGTACCCCCGGGTGTACCCTAAAGTATCATGCCAGGATCGGGTCTTTTCTACTTAACAGTGAGCAACTCTAAAACACTAATTATTTTCAATCACCAAAACTTTGAACACAAAGACTGCTTATTATATAAAAAATAGACCTGTCTATATTATTTAAAATTTATTAAATAATTTTACACCAGCTTTTCAACCCAAAGCACGGGTATCATATTGCACTAGAGAAAAATACATATCATAGCTGTTTGCTGTACTACATTGACATGGCTTACTATTAAAGCTAAAGGCATTCAAGAAAGAACAAAATATGACAAAGCTCACAGATGCTTCATAATTACATGTACTTCTTCCATACAAATATGTTATATTCCATGATTATAACCTGTACTGTACATGTAGGTGTCACTCATTTATGATTATAACCTGTACTGTACATGTAGGTGTCACTCATTTATGTGATGGTGTAATTATTTTTATTAAACATTGGAATGTGGACTCTTTTTTGAGATAAATTTTCCATAATGTAAGACAGTAATTCCGTTTAAAAAATGTAACTAGTAACCACAGCTTTGACCACAATTGACAAAGTAATTCATTTTTACGTCTTTGTTCTCCCTGGTCCCTATGCTTGCTGAATAAAGTGACAACTGAGCTGGAGAAATGGGCAATACTTTATTGGGGCTATTCCCTATGCCAACTATGCCAATCTCTGTTCATTTAAATAGTTTGCTAACGAACATCTCCAACACAGTGTACCTGTTATCTTATGGAATGATTCAGACTTCTAAGGAGATATTTTAATTTATTTAAATTAAGCTCCAACATTTATTAAACTTCCTTGGCTGCAAGGTTTATGAGTTCATTCACTGATTTTCCATTGAGACTCTCTCCTTGTAGCCATTTCTCTGCTTTGCTCTCAATCATTTCCCATTCAGCAAAACTCTCCATACAATACTTCCTCAGCCAGGCCAGAGCTAGCACAGTGGCAAGAATCTCAGCACTCTGAAACTACAGAGATACTTTGTGAAATATTGTCATTGGATGGCCTCAATTACAATGCATAACTACATAATGAATGCTATGTATAAACAAATGTTTGAGGCTGACCAGTAAACCACCCATCATAGTCTAAGTTTGGGGAATAGAATAAGAACTTGGAAAATATTTGTAACAAAGTTTATAATTTTCAGTAAGTAGCCTTGGAATGAATTGTTTGTAGAATAATACACTGCTGTATTCTATTAATATATTAGAATAATACACTGCAATATATTCATTACTATATTACAAAATACCTGAACACCCAAATGTTTTTTCAAATCATCTAATGATTTTCCAATCAAGTGGGCCAAAGTGCTTTCGAGTAACCATGATCCATTGAATGTTTGGAGTTTCACCATGGCCATTGCTGTTCTCTCTGTAATTAATAAGTTGAATTCATTACATTTGTACATGTACTTATGTCTTATTTGAGACCAGTTTAACACTTGTTTGGCTATGCAACATACAACATGTCAAATCTTTATACTCTGGCGATATTTTAAATCAATTTTCTCTATGATTGGTCAAAAATGACACATTCTTCTTAATGTAAACAATAGTTTGATTGGACATAATTGGAAAATAATTGAACTGAGTGTGAAAGTACAACTTGCAATTTGTTTAAATATAAAATACACTAAAAGGTCAATTGAAATACATGTAAACCTTATTCATACATACTCTTATATGTAAAAATACTTGAAATAAATGATTGAATGAAATAAATATCTTACCTCTACCTCCACTGTTTTGAGATGCTGAGACAGCAGCAGCAACAGCAGGCCCATCACATGATCCCAATTCAGCAACAACACCAACATCTTCATCTTCATCAGCTGAAAAAATCAAACAAACAAGCCATTGACATGCATTTTATCACCACCTACCATTTGTTACAGACGCTGATGCAAATGCCAATCTGTCAAAAGTGCTAACCAAATATTGCAAAAAGGCATTAGTTAAAGGTTTAATGTCCTTTAAGAACACATGTATTATTACACATCCCACCTCTCAATTAATTGCCTTAGATTCCTTTGCAATCTAACATATGGTATCCTAACACCCCTCTGGTTTTTACTGATGACATTAACTTGGACGCGTCCAACTAAGTATAAAACTAGTAAGTACACGTGCTGAGGTCCTCAATTTCCCCATACAAGTGCAATCTACGTACTACTGTATAGAAATTTTGTCAACCTACAGAAGTTAGGAATATGGACAGCAACAACAACAACCCCATCCTAAAGGATGTTAACCTCAACAACACAGCATTGTATTATGGTGAACTGGAAGAGGGTCAAATTATAGACTCTGCTTCATTAGGCTTTCTTCAGAACTCCACGACTGACTTTGGAAATTCTGCATATAACATGCCATCACACACCAACACCAGCGGTTCACTCGACAAACATGCTAAAGAAGTCTCGCTTCAGTCAGACTTCAATCCAGATCTTCATGATCCCAGGCTCGCTAAAGCCAGTGATTCTAGGCTCTTTCCTCGAGGGAATGAGGTGCAGGACACTTTTAGCAACAAACATCAGAACCCCATGTCTCACATGAGACCAGGTGGAGACTGTTTACAGTCCGATAAATTGAACTCTATAGGATTCAATTCTACAAACATTCAGGCTTCTAAAAAGCTACTGAAAAAACAACGCGATTTACAACGCTCTAAAGAACCCCTAAATGAACCCCAAGTTTATCAACAAACGGGGTCTGGATTAGTGCAAGACATCATCAAGGGGTTAACTCCAACATTGGAAATGATCGCCTCTAATAAACAACTGGATATTGAGCTCTTAGGTCAACCTGAAAACAGGAACAGATCTTCTCAAAGACGCTCACAACAAAGGAGAAAACGTCATAATTCCCCGGTTTCTTCACAAGACGATAGCTCGCCCGCACGGACACTTAGCATTAAACGGCATCGTTCTGATCACCCCTCCACTAGTGAAATGGAATCTCCTGACAGAGACACAACGCGCATGCGCAGTGTTAATAACCCGGAAATGGATTCCGATTCTTCAGCATCAGAAAATGATTATGACTCGAATTCGTGGAAAAACTGCATTAAATTGATAAAAAATGCATTCCAGGAACACTTTACAGCGAGCCCCGATACCAACACGAACAAGCAAACAGCAAATATTCCATTAGGATTACAATCTTTGGGCAGGAAGGCATCGTCTTCTGAGAATTCGAATGGATTACTGATCGGACCCTCTGTTCAACAAAATTTCACAGCGATGAACCAAGAAATATACAACAAGAGGAACACCAACGACGGTAATTTCCTTCTCAGGCCTAAGCGGTTTTTCACTTCTTTGAAAGATGATGAACATTTTTATAAAAAATGCATCTTAAACAACACAATCAAAGAATTGGTTCCACCTACAATGAAACTCTCTGAATTGAGTAATTCAACAAATTATAAGCTGCCAGCAAAACATCACAAGCTGTTAGAAGAATCAGCTAAAGCCCCCCTCAGATATTTATCACACACAGAATGGCTACTAGGGGCAACAGGTAAAATTGTAGCAGAAAAATTCCCTGACAATGAGGATTTGATTAATTTGTTGTCTACAGCTTCTACAATGGTCAACAAAGCAACCAGAGATACTGTTTCAAACATTACCAATGTGATTCTAACACAGAGGGATCGTATCAGTTCCAAATTCAGAAGATCTGATGCGGAATCACTAAGGAATCTCCCAATTGATACGACCTACTTATACCCAGAGCCTCAATTAAAAACAATTTGTGAAGGCTCTGATAGATCCAAAACTTCTAAAGCTCTACAGGATCTGGCTTCAAACTGGAAAAAGCCCAAAAACGACAACAACAACTATTCAGCTAAAAACAGCTATAACAGAAATAATAACAGAGGCAATTATCATAACAACAACAACAGAGGAAATTACAACAATAACAGAGGAAACCACAACAATAGAGGCAATTACAACAATGACAGAGCCTCTACATCAACTAAAGACAATAACAACAAACAAAAGAAGCGAAAATGACACTCACAGTTTAACTGTAACCCAGCCCTGCCTCCCCCTATTCTCACCTACAGCCCAGCTGGGACCAGTGGGAGGCAGAATTCAACAACACAAACACAACTGGGAACTCATTACCAAGGATCAATGGATCTTAAACATAGTAAAACATGGATATGCTCCAGAATTAACAGCAACACCACCAATGACAAACCTATTCAACAGGTTCGAATCGGCGTCAAAAAGAAAATCCCAACTTTTTCAAGAAATAGTAGAAAAATTACTTCAAAAACAAGCAGTGGAACTAGTAAAAAACAACACTATAGGACACTACAGCATAATCTTCTTAAGACAGAAACCAAACGGAGACTACAGACCTATAATAGACCTGTCTCTCCTCAACAAGTATCTAACTTGTCCAAAATTCAAGATGGAAACCACTGCAAAAATTTCCAGTGCTCTTCAAATAGGCGAGTGGGCTACCTCCATAGACTGTCGGGACGCCTATTTCCATGTACCAATAGCCAAAAACTTCAGGAAATACCTCAGATTTGTGATAAACAATCAAGTGTATCAGTTCAAAACACTCCCATTCGGGATGTCAACCAGCCCTTACGTCTTTACAAGGATAACGTTGGCAATTGGGGCATTCCTACATTTCCAAGGAATAACAATACACATGTACCTCGACGATTGGCTCATACGAGCCTCATCTGCCCAACAGTGCCTCATATGGACTCAAACAGTAATAACTGTGATGGAAAAATTGGGACTGATAATCAACTTCGAAAAATCAGAACTTACCCCAACTCAAAACTTCAAATACATAGGCTCACAATACAACCTAGCCTTGGGACTTGTATATCCACCTCAAGACAGGATCCAAAAGATCCTAGAAATCTCTCATCTATTCATCAACTCTCTACACCAACCAGCGAGACATTGGATGAAACTTCTAGGCCTGCTGGCCTCTGCGGAGAAAAACATACCCTGGGGAAGGCTGCACATGAGACCGATACAACAATGTCTAGCCAATCAAATGTCCCATTTACAATCCCTAGAGACTCCTATTTACATAAATCAGGAGGTAATACACACCTTGAAATGGTGGATGGACAAAAACAATCTTTCACATGGCCAACCATTAGGGATGTTTACCCCAGATCACACAATTTTCACAGATGCATCAGAGACAATGTGGGGTGCACACATGGACACAGTGGAGATAAATGGATTCTGGTCCCCTACAGAGAGGAACAATCACATAAATTGGCTGGAACTAGCAACAGTACTGAAAGCTCTACACAAACTAAATCACCTTCTAGTACCCCAAGCAAAAATTCTCTTTTGCCTGGACAACACCACAGCATTGAGTTACATAAACAAACAAGGCGGGACGAAATCGAAACAGCTTCTGACCCTGAGCCAAGAAATCCTAAATTGGTGCAAGGATCATCAAATCAACATAAAAGCAAAACACATAGCAGGATCCCTAAACCGACGAGCAGATGCTCTATCTCGGAACAGAATAGTCAACACAGAATGGTCTCTACTCCCACGAATTGTGCAATCACTGTGGCAGATATGGGAAACTCCCCACATAGATATGATGGCAACATGTCACAACAACAAATTACCACTGTACGTATCCCCAGTCCCAGACCAAAACAGCTGGGGAACAGATGCAATGTCAATGTCATGGAACAATCTGAATTTCTACATATTTCCACCAACAAGCATGATGGACAAAGTCTTGACAAAAATGAAAACACACACCTGCGAAGCCATAATGATAGTTCCAAAATGGCCAAATCAACCTTGGTTCGCTCAGTTACTGGATCTACTAGTAGACCATCCAAGAACTCTACCAACATCTCCAAAGCTTCTAAAGATGCCAAACACAAGCATGTTTCATCAAACTCCAGAAATATTTGCTCTTCACGCCTGCAAATTGTCAACGACTCCCTCAAAAAACAAGGATTTTCTTCAGAAGTGTCTTCTAGAATATCGGAATCATCTAGAAGGAAATCAACAAATAAACTCTATGATTCCAGGTGGAACACCTTCACTCTTTGGTGTGAAGAACGGGATACAAATCCATGCCAAACAGATATACCTCTAGTCGCAGAATTCCTTCTCTACCTACACAAGACAAAGAAATTCTCTATTCCAACTATAGAAGGCTATAGGACAGCTATCAACACAGTACTAAAGGAGTCTTCAGATATAGACCTCACTGACAATTCACTAATAGGAGATCTTATTAGATCCTTCAAACTAGAAAATGTAATACCTAAAAACATTATTCCCAAATGGAATTTAGTGTTCGTTCTAAATGCACTAACAAGAGCACCATTTGAACCTATGGCCACAGCGGAATTAAAGTTCACAACATGGAAAACTCTATTCCTGCTACTCATGGCTTCTGGCAAGAGAAGAAGTGATATTCATGCACTGGACTTCAGACGTCTAAAATGGTCAGAAAACAGGGATCAAGTGACTATGTATCCCTTTATAGGTTTTTTGCCTAAATCACTATCAGCTGCGGAAGGAGAATCTCGTTTTCAACCAATCTCCATAAAAGCTCTTTCCTCTTTCGTGGATAAAGATTCACCTGACAGGAAACTTTGCCCTCTGAGAGCCTTACGCTTTTACCTACAAGCCACAGTCTCTAGAAGAGGAAACAGGAATAGACTTTTTATTCCATTTAAGCCTGGATACGATGGAGATATACACATTAACACTATCTCATCTTGGGTGAAAAATCTGATCTTGTATACATACAAAAATTCACAAGAATCAGATTACAGGATCGACTCCATTAAACCCCACGAAACCAGGGCCCTTTCTGCAAGTCTAGCTGTTCAAGCAAACTTATCAGTGGCCGCAGTTCTCAAAGCATGCTCATGGGCAAATCACAACACATTTACCAGCCTCTACCTCAGAGAAACATCAGTGATTGAGGGAGAACTGCGGAAATTGGGTCCTATGATGATTGCAGGCACCCTGTACGACATATAACTTCAACATTACAGTAGGGTGAGTTCAAAACCTGTTTTTCATCAAACATTCTTATTTATTTATTAGAATTAAATTCAGAATGTTTCTACTCATGGTTTGTGGGGCCCTCTGGTTATTACTGAATTCACCCACCACCTTTTGGCTACATTCAGGCAATTAATTGAGAGGTGGGATGTGTAATAATACTGGGAAAATCCTTTTTAAATTGATTTTCCTGTTTATAAACATACCCACCTCTCAATTACCAAAGTCCCACCCAACCTCCCCGCTATTCACTAGGGGGAATAGGGAAATTGAGGACCTCAGCACGTGTACTTACTAGTTTTATACTTAGTTGGACACGTCCAAGTTAATGTCATCAGTAAAAACCAGAGGGGTGTTAGGATACCATATGTTAGATTGCAAAGGAATCTAAGGCAATTAATTGAGAGGTGGGTATGTTTATAAACAGGAAAATCAATTTAAAAAGGATTTTCCCAATTCTTACTATTGAAAATGGATTCTAGCAATACTATCCATCATTTCCATGTATGAATGTACTTGTTGAGATTCAATGAGGATTTTGTATCTATCCTAGCCAAGTTGACATATATGATGGTATCCAGTGAACACCTATGGAGCCACAAAAATGTGTTCACTGTAGTTAGGTGTTCATAACAGTAATTTATACAGAAGCCAGTAGAGTATATGCGGAAGAAGGGTGTCTACTAGAGACAGGTGTTCAGTAAGACAGGTATTTACCAGAGAGAGGTGTTCACTAAGACAGGTTTTACTGTATATCAATTAAGCTGTAATGATCATTTATACTGTATAAATGTCTGTACAAATGTCTTATATCAATTAAGCTATAATGAACTCAGATTTATATACAAATGTCATGATGACTTAAGGTTGTAATGCTAGCATATAATAATTTACCATCACATAGCTCCATTATTTCTGCTGTTTCTGGAGCTGGTGGTGGGGGAGCAGCTAGTTTTTTCATCTTTGCTTTTCCTCTTGATTTTTTCCCTGTAGAAGAGCATGTATAATTTGTTATCATTTCTCACCTTTGAAAATGTTGAATAAGTACTGTTACTAGGGATACATTATCAAAATCCATTGCAAAATTAAGAATTTTTAACTCTGTTGCACCACAAGGTCATTATTCCCATAGTATGTATTATATATTATGTATGCTATAAGAATAAAAGGTCACCTAGTGTATTCTAAAACTGTGACAGAATAAACTGTTTGCTCTCAAAAAAATGTTTGGTGCTAAATATCTAAGTGACTTTTTATGAAGACAAATAGAAGACATTAAACACCACTGACAAGCATTTAGTAATTTCTAGGACTGTACAAAATGTAAACAAACTTAACCATTATCTACATACATGTAGTATTATAATTAAATCACTTGTTTTCAAATAACCTCTTGTTCCAAAGCTGGATCATAAATTATTGCAAACTTATATTTTACACCCAATGGCTGGGAAAAAGTCGAAATAGGAGAGGTTAAATAAAAAGAAAATATAGAAGCTGAAAATGTTCACAAGAAACAAAACTAAGAAATCTAAGTCTCAGAAACACAACTACTAACAATCATATACACACAGGAAATGAATACTTAGTTATAATTTCAAGTTTAAAATAAGTTTACTAATATTCTAAGGACATGTAAATTAAAATCTACTGCAGTATGTCAATTCACAACACACCAATGCAGATCTTACTTGAAAATAGATTCTGAATTGTTTTTATAGGGTTGGGTATTGTTGGGAATGACATCTTTTTTGTGCTCTGGTACATTGGTGCTGCTAAACTATAACATGCACCACCTCCTACAAACCCAGAATCTGCTAGCCCACAACTTGATAAGGAAGCATACATGACCTCTTCCTACAAACATGCACATATTGAAAAATAAAGGTCCTCTGACTTTTAGAAAATACAAAGGGCAATATTGAAACTTGGACACTCCCTTCCAATATACTCTACAAGCCCATGGCTAATAAATACATGACCTGCCTTATACTACATGCAAATTGAAAAAAGACTAGAAAAACAGCAAGTCTCATTATTTTAGACATTTCATGAAATAATACATTTAGTCAGGCAGTTCAGTATTGTCTAATTCTTGCAAAATCAGTACAGCCAAGAAGTGACATCAATTTCCTATCAGCCTACCATATTTCATTACCATCAGACTGATCGTCACAATGTTAAAACAAACATGCCGACATTGTCAATGAGCATGTATGGCCGAAATGACACGGATGGTCTCCCTTTTGAGGTCTACAATTGCCCCGAGGTCATTCTTGTACACTCTATCCATCCCCATAGGTAGGACACAGGGCCGTAGGGAGAGGGGGTTCGTAGGACTCGTGCGAACCCCCCCCCCAAATCTTGCCTAAAAAAAATTCGAACCCACCCTTTCTGGCAATTATGCAAACCTCCAAACTTTGAGTAAACTTTTTGCAGTCTTTCAATAATTTATCGTTTTTTATTACCCAAAGACAATTGAGTTATATGTCAAGATGAAAATATGTGAGATTTATAGCTTCATTTTGAGTAAAAAAGATTTTAAAAAAAACAGAAAAACAAAAAACTTCTAATCAATAATGGGCGATAATAGGTATGCTCTTTGCACTTTAGGCCTGAAATACTGAAGTAATATCTTCAAAATGAATTCAAATGCACAAACAAAGCATACCTACCAAGTTGAAATTATCTGATTGTTGTACATAACGTCAAAATGGTATAATTTTAGATATAAATCTACAGAGAATTTTGTTGTGACACTGGGCCGTGATGCACCAAAATTGTGAACGCTAAAAAATTCTTACTTACAACGTTCTTATTTTTTCATGCTGTAGCTAGATCAAAGCAAGTATAAAGATCACTCACACAGAGTTGTTTACTGATTTTTGGCTCCTATTTATTTATAAAGCTCGTTGTACAAGCGATTTAAAATTGGGGGGAGGGGCAGGGGGTTCTATGTCTGCTAATTTCTGTGAATTTGTGGTATGTTGGGTCCAAATTTAAAAAAATCTGCCCAAATAAATGAACTTGGTCTTGGGATATTTTACCTATTTTTTGCTTTTGCAATTGTTTGAGATTTGGTAAACTTGAGAAAATTTTGTAAAATTTTAAATTTTAGCGAATGGGCAAAAATTATGAAAATTTGGCAACAATGAAACTTTGGCAAAATTTATCCATTATTTGCATTTAAGTAAAATCGGCAAAATTTAAATATAATTTTAGAAACTTGTCAAAAATTAATTAAATTAGACCAAAATTAAGAAAACTGCAAAATTTAAGCAAATTTGGCAAAATTGAGGTAAATTGGCAAACATACAGCAAATTTGGCAGAATTTCAGCAAATTTGGCAAAATTTAAGCAAATTTGGGAAAATTTAAGCAAATTTGGCAAAATTTAAGCAAATTTGGCAAGATTTAAGCAAATTTGGTAAAATTGAAACAAATTTGACACAATTAAAGCAAATTTGGCAAAATTTAAGCAAATTTGGCAAAACTAAAGCAAATTTGGCAAAATTTAAGCACATTTGGCAAATTTGGCAGAAAATATTAGAACCCCCTCCTGACAAATCCTGGCTACGCCACTGGGACAGGTATGGACATTTTGGATAATGTGTTCAGGTTTTCCTACAGCACAATAGTGGCCACAGGAGCATGTTGCTCGTATGTGTTGTTCCAACAAATATGAATGGTTATACCACTCTAAGTCCGATTACAGTTGTATAACATGGGTCTATAACAACGATATACAGTGGAGAGTGGTATATCGTCATCGTATACAACTCCTCCGTATACACTCCAGCGTATACCACTGTAGAAGTGCATTCTGGGAACTAATGAATATTGACCGAAGAACGAGGTGTATGTTTTGTTACCCATGATTTCCTAGAATCAAGTGACGTCATAAATGGTTCCCACATGATTTGCTAGAATCAAGTGACGTCATAAATGGATCTAGATCAACATCGCCATTACTGAGTTGGCTATGAGATATTTTTATGGTTTTTATAATTGTTGTGATTGTGTTTGAATCAACTGTAATTGAACTTAGAGTGGCATAATAAGATTATATAATGGTTCATTCTGTATATCGTGCATTTTATACTCTCGTGAGAATACAATATATTCACTCGTTCGCTACGCTCACTTGTGAATATATTATATACTCACTCGAGTATAAACACGATATACAGAATGAACCATTATATAACCTCATATTATACTTCAAACTCATGGACACACTGATGGAAGGAGGGCTTGATCATATTCCATTCAAAATTTGTTTGATAACTAATGATTTTAAAGTGACTTTGAGAAACTAGAAAAGACAATGTTAGAACTAGAAGTAGAATACTGGGCCCCGAATGCTTGCTAATCCTTACTATGCAAACCGACAGCATAACAATGCAGCATTCATGCATTCATGCACTCATCATACAAACATGAACATTAAACAAAACTTATTAAAGTTCTCTGACTTTGAAACAATATAACTTAGGGCAATATTAGAGCTTGAACTCTGATCCGAATAAACAAAACTACCTCATCTGATCTTCAGTGATATTTACATAACCATGGCGTAGAATAATGGAAATAACGTCACAACGCATGCACGAAAATCGGCATTTCATGGTCCACAGATTTCAATGGAAAGCCTTCTTGACAATATAATAATTAAACAAGGCACAGACGTGAACAATATCGTACCTAAAACACAGCATTGTGGTCTTGTTGACCAAGAAAGCAAGATGGCCGCAGAAAAGTTAATCAGCTCTAGAACTTATCACTGTGTAACATTTGAACGGTTTGACTGGAAACCTGTAGACAAGTCTTGAAAGTGAAGATTTTAGGATGGAAAATCCAAAATGGCCACCTTAAAATTTACCCAGAATGCCCAAAAACTAATCAGTTCTTGACATTGATATGTAGAAACATCCCTGAAAATTTCAGATGAATCCCTCAAATGGTTTGGCTGGAAACCTGTAGACAAGCTGAAAAGTGAGACGCCGCCCGCCGCCCGCCCGCCAAGCTGACTACAATATCGTACCTTTTGTTAGGTACGATAAAAATTGAAATAACTTTAAAGCAAATGACTTATTTTCTAAGAATTCATCGGATTCTTGTAATACACATCTATATGGATATTTTGATATATAAGATAGCTGGATGTACCCATAGATCTATCCGCCATTGAATATGCTCATTAATCTCCCATCGCTTAAGATTCATCGAATTCTAATACAGTAATGTTCGTACAACATGATAGGATCTCCCATTTTAATTTTTGCTGAATAATCTATCCGCCAAATTGGCTCAACATTTGTGAACATTTTGATTTCCACCATTTAATGACGTAGTTGGATCTGAGATTCATCAGTCCCGGGATTTATGACGCTATTTCCATTATTCTACACCATGAAAACAGAAGACAACCAAAAGCATAACAAACAATGAAATCCATGGTCGTTAATATGCAACTCAAATAAAATCTTATTGACTGATTAGATGCAAGCAACAATTAGAATCACCCAATCCCTTTTACAAAACATATTGTGTGATATATCAAGTCAATTTCCTCTGCCTCACCTATGCATTAATTTATGATCCAGCTGAAATAATAATTGCATATAACATACTAATATTCATTTGGGGACATTGCGCAGATGCAACCTTTCTCCTTGCAGGCATAGGTGCAGACATGCACATCATAGGTGCAGACATGCACATCATTTGGCGACTGTAAAGCCCCATTCCAACCTGGAATGATATAAGCACCTGTTACACTCAATATTACATATTCAATAAATACTCAGGTTACACCAGGAAGGGATTGTCCAGAGCAGACTGTGGACCATTGTACAAAAGGAATGACTTTTAAGTGGTCCATAGTCACATATGAATAAATGACATATCATTTGAAAGAGGAGACATGTGGCTTCGTGGTAAACTAAATGGAATTGATGTAACCATCACTGGCTTTATGATTTTGCAATGTTTCTGTCTGCTGCGCTTTTTGAGACACTCAGTACAGTATATGTACAGGGTGGGTCAAGAAAACATACATATTTTTTATTTCAATATAACTTTTTGAAAACTCATGGATTCAATGAAATCTTCTCTGGACTAAATACAGACTTCAGGATATTATTCAAAGCAATAATTTTACAGTGATAGTCAAGCCTCAAATTAAAGTACCAGACTGACATAATATTCTGTCAGAGAATCACATGGGGTAGGGTGTAGTATTTATTTTATTATGCACCTCCCTCCCTCCTTAATTTACTGTAGATAAATAAAAGATGGTGTTAAATTGTCAAGAAATACTTTATTTTAAAGAATGGGTCTACTAAAACAGAAGCCGAGCCAAGTATTTTTTTCGAGGATAGGTATTCTGGCATACAGGATGGTTGGAGATCTCATTGCTTCAATACTGGATAGAACGAGATCTTACTGCCACTTATGGCAATAGACCCTGCAGCTCTTAACCAATCAGATTTGAGTATTTTAATGAGGTGCATAATAAATTACAATTCTGTATGCATCATACATAACATGTCTCTCTAACTCTAAATGCATAACATGTCAATATGGTACTGTTAATACTATTATAATATGATCTGTAAAATGAAGCCCTCTGATTGGTCAGTTCTTGTGCTGTACCAATCTGTATTGCACAAGGTGGTCCAAAAAATTAAACTTAAAATCATTATTTTTCCTCAAAAATGAGTCGGATCCAATTCATTATTTATGATAATGGTATACAGGTTAAAAGTATGTAGGTCAGTCTGTTAGCCAATGAGGGTAGCTAAAGGTAGGTTTATAAGTATACACATTTAGAAGCTTTAGATGGGATCTTCCGGGGGCCCGGTCGAGGGCCTTATTCATATCCCAGGATTCATGTTCTTATTTACAGCAGAAAGTCTACTTCAATTTAATAATTGATCAATCTTTAATCAGTATATCGCAAATATGTACTACTACACAGGCAAATTACATTGGACCCCATACACGCCCGTACGGAGCTCGTTGTATCAACGGACCCTGTACAACCTCGTACGGGCCTCGTTACGTAATTACGTAATTGCTTGTAATTTTCGAGCCTCGTAAGAGCTTGTGATTACAAGGCCTGTAATAGCTCGTAATTCTCGACCCCCGTACTTTACCGTACGGTGCCCGTAACGAGCACCATAATAAATCGTAATTTTCGATCCCCGTACTTGCTCGTACAGTGCCTGTTACGAGGCCCGTAATAGCTCATAATTTTCGAGCCGTGTACTTGCCTGTGCGATGCCCGTAACAAGGCCCGTTATTGCTCGTAATTTTCAAGCACTGTACTTGCCCATACGGGGCTCGTAACGAGGCTCGTAATTGCTCGTTTATTTTGATGAATTCTTTTTGATCGATGAAATAAAATACAGCATATATGAGAAATGACAATTTAATTATATCCACTTATGAATTAATATGTCTTCAATAATTTCAAAATATTCGCATGTCTGTATCAACATGATAAACAGTAGTATAATAGCTAGGAAACAAAAGAGGGTTACCAATAAGAGACACCATATTTCTCTACAAGTGAAGTAAATGCATATAAAACCATTTGCGTGCTTTATTAGGATGAGTTGAAATGTGATGTAAATAAATGTTATTGCTATCGAATGTGTGAATAAAAACATCATTCTAATATATAATGAATAAACATGGTTTGGCCAAATATGAAATTTGTGCATGTTGCATGATAGCAATTAATTTTTTTGTTCGGAGTTCGATAACGGGCCTCGTACGAGCTCGTACGGGCCTCGAAATTGCGAGCCTCGTACATGCTTGGACGGGCCTCGGAAACAACAATTACGAGTATCGTACGAGCTCGCACGGGCCTCGAAAACGAGCTTCGTACGCGCCCGTACGAGGATGGTGCTCCTTTTTGCCCGTAATGACTAGTAAATCTCGAGGCTCATACGGGGCCCGATGTAATTTGCCTGTGTAGTTGAACAGCGCATGTTATCTGTTAAAAATAGTCACTTTATTTTAAATTAGTTTGAAGGCTAAAAAGACAAACTATGAGGGGAGTACAGATAGTATCTAGCCGATATCATTTTGAAAGAGGTCCATGACGTAAGTCTGCCACTTATGAATCGAAATACGCGTAAATAAGAAGTACTAATGAGGTAGGTACATTTCGGCCATTTCCCTTGGTAATGGGCGATAACAAAAAAACGACCTAGCCCGTACGACAATTTACATTCCCGCACGTTGATTAAATGATTACACGTTAATTGATGCGATTGATTACACATGTGCAATTGAAAAACATAGAATGTCAATTAACATAGTATCCGTCAATCAACTACAATGACTTTAATTGACGAGATAAACGTTAAATGATCTAATCGTCTCCACTGTCAAACATTGACTAATTTAATGCATTAACTTTGTGGTTTGCACCTATAAACTTTACATCAGAGAGAAGTGACTGAACTATGCTCAGTAAAATTTTGGTACATTTTAGAGGAAAAATAAAGGTTTTGTGTTCAATTAACAAATGTTCCAATTTTATTTGGACCACCCTGTATATAAGTGATAAATCTTATAGGGCACCAGGTTCTACAGCTTTTCCTTATTCACTGAAGACAACCTACCTGATCACTGGTTGATCCAATATTGTAGACTTTTGAAATTTTAATGGCTTCTTTATTCTGTTTATCCACACCAACAAAGGCTGTGTGTCTGGATACAACATTAGCTGACACACTCATCAGAACAACATGATTTTTCAATGCATCTGCATTGAGGTCCTCTGTGGGCTTTTCATTTTGGAGTTCCTTGATTTGAAGTTTGGCAGCGAGTCTATGTAGTGTGAGGGACATAGAGGATGTATGAGTAGTAGGGAAATGCAGATGATACTCAAGATTTCTTTGACCACTAGTCCCAGTCAAAACTGCTCCATAGTTTGGCTCAATAATGCTTGGCTGGAATCATATGCAGAATTGTGACAGATCTTGCTCATAATACATTAAGATTATATAACACTGAGAATATTTTTGCTCTGAAAAGGTAAGGTCCATGGAGACAAGTATTTGTTTTCCCTGTATTGCATGGAATGTTTTCCTTGTATTGCATATACATGTAGTGTCATATGACATGTTTTTATTGTTAGCTGCATAACACCCATGTACTGCATATACATGTTGGGTCATATGACATGTTGTCCTTGTATTGCATACACATGTAAATGTATAGTCATATGACATGTTTTCCCTGTATTGCATATACAGCAGGGACATACGGCATGTTTTCCTTGTATTGCATACAAATGTAGGGTTACATGACATGTTTCCTTGTATGTTTAATCAATGGTTGGAATGTTGGGGCTTTGTTTCTAGTAGACAGTTCTTTCTCAATATTCATTTTTTTACTGCTCATAAATTAATTGTTTATATTTGAAATAGACAGTTATAGAGACATGTACATACCATATTTTGCAGAAGAGCATAAACTACAAACTTTTCATCAGCAAACACTGGTGGAAACTGCTTGGGTATTTTCACAGCTGATACCCCTTTTGGGAGATTCCATTGAAGGTCAAGGTCACTGATGGACGGCTGCATTGAACATTTCAATGATGACATCACCTGATATGATAAAATAAATTATTTTTCAGAACCTTCATTTGCCAACCTACACAAGATTCAGTTGCCAACCTACACGAGCTTTAGACTTTTTACAAATTTGATACTGAGAAAATCTTAATAATCTCAAATGTTGTTTTGTGAAGTAATTGAAAGAAAGAATGTATAGGCAGATAATTTAGTTTCATCATAAAAGTGTATTAAATATATTCTTATCAAAAGCTTGAAGAGGCATGTCTACATACACACAGATTTTTATGCTGTTAAATATATACCTTTGCTCTTAGATTATCAGATCCAGTCACAAACTCTGATTTCCCCTTGCCAGCATCAGCCAGACCCTTTACCAAGCTAGTGGATGCCCCATCTCCAATACCAAATGTGAACACCCTAAAACATAATGTTCAAATTAGATGTATCTTGGTTTATATATGGTAAAGAAAATGGTGCTTAAGATGCTAAATTGAGAAAATCAATAAGGACTAATTCAATTCAATCAATTTATTCAACTATGAACAGGCATGTATTTAAAAAATAACAAGTAACACCATTTCTGGTGTTCTGATACATGATACATGATAAAGCATAATATTATGAATATTAAATACAAGGTAAGGTCAAGGAATCAATGGCATACATGTATTATGGTTGCTCTAAATATAATGGAAATGGTACAAAAAGGTGTCCAGGGGGGGGGGGTTGAGGTGCACCACAGAGTTAACAAAATTTAGTTTCCAGTCAAGACCAAATGTTCTAGTTTTAAAAGAAATAGAAATATTAATATTACAAGGCATTAACATGACAAAATGTCACCACCTAGTTGCTCACAATATTATGAGTTCAAACTTAAGTCAGATTTGAATTTCTGAGAACTTGTAAAGTCAAATTTGAACTTCTGAAAAGATGTAGATGATTTTGAAAAAAAAATTGGTCAATTTGAAGCAAGTTGAAAACAGACCTTTTTGACCTTGAGAAGGTCATTAAAGGTCAAATCTAAAGTAAGATTTGAATTTCTGAGAACATGTAGATGATTTTGAAAAAAAAAATTTGAAGCAAGTTGAAAAAAGACCTTTTTGACCTTTTTTGACCTTGAGAAGGTCAAATGTCAAATCTAAAGTCATATTTGAATTTCTGAGAACATGTAGATGATTTTGAAAAAAAAATTTAGTCAATTTGAACCAAGATGAAAAAATACCTTTTTGACCTTTTTTGACATTGAGAAGGTCATTGAAGGAGTCAATTTGAAGCAAGTTGAAAAAAGATCTTTTTGACTTTTTTTGACCTTGAGAAGGTCATTGAAGGTCAAATGTCAAATCTAAAGTCAAATCTAAAGTCATATTTGAATTTCTGAGAACATGTAGATGATTTTGAAAAAAAAATTTAGTCAATTTGAAGCAAGATGAAAAAATACCTTTTTGACCTTTTTTGACATTGAGAAGGTCATTGAAGGTCAAATGTCAAATCTAAAGTCAGATTTGAATTTCTGAGAACATGTAGATGATTTTGAAAAAAAGATTTAGTCAATTTGAAGCAAGTTGAAAAAAGACCTTTTTGACCTTTTTTGACATTGAGAAGGTCATTGAAGGTCAAATGTCAAATCTTAAGTCAAATCTAAAGTCAGATTTGAATTTCTGAGAACACGTAGATGATTTTGAAAAAAAAATTTAGTCAAGTTGAAAAAAGACCTTTTTGACCTTTTTTGACTTTGAAAAGGTCATTGAAGGTCAAGTGTCAAATCTTAAGTCAAATCTAAAGTCAGATTTGAATTTCTGAGAACATGTAGATGATTTTGAAATTTTTTTTAGTCAATTTGAAGCAAGTTGAAAACAGACCTTTTTGACCTTTTTTGACCTTGAGAAGGTCACTGAAGGTCAAATGTCAAATCTTAAGTCAAATCTTAAGTCAGATTTGAATTTCTGAGTACACGTAGGTGATTTTGAAAAAAAAATTTAGTCAATTTGAAGCAAGTTGAAAACAGACCTTTTTGACCTTTTTTGACCTTGAGAAGGTCATTGAAGGTCAAATGTCAAATCTAAAGTCAGATTTGAATTTCTGAGAACATGTAGATGATTTTGAAAAAAAAATTTAGTCAATTTGAAGCAAGTTGAAAACAGACCTTTTTGACCTTTTTTGACCTTGAGAAGGTCATTGAAGGTCAAATGTCAAATCTAAAGTCAGATTTGAAGGTCAAATGTCAAATCTAAAGTCAAATCTAAAGTCAGATTTGAATTTCTGAGAACATGTAGATGATTTTGAAAAAAAAATTAGTCAATGTGAAGCAAGTTGAAAAAAGACCTTTTTGACCTTGAGAAGGTCATTGAAGGTCAAATCTAAAGTCAGATTTGAACTTCTGAGAACATGTAGATGATTTAGAAAAAAATTGAAGTCAGTCTAAACAGTATTTTTTAAGTTATAGGAAGTTGTAAGAAATTGTTACAGACACCAACCTCCAACCGCCGGACGCCAACCTCCAACCGCCGGACGCCAACCGCCGTCGCAAAAAAAACGGAGACCATAACAATATGTCACCACTTTTGGTGGTGACATAAAAAAACGGAGACCATAACAATATGTCACCACTTTTGGTGGTGACATAAAAAAAACGGAGACCATAACAATATGTCACCACTTTTGGTGGTGACATAATAAACACCATACACTACATCTACATGCCTCTCTGACAGACTGATCCATCTGTTTCTTTAATTGTACATGTAGGTCATAATTAAACATTGTGAAATTGTAGCATAAACTTAGTTACCTAAAATGCATGCCAATGTCTGACATCCTTTCGTGTTTAAATATACAGGGTGTCAAAAAACCAAGATATCTGGTACCAAGTGTGATATATCATTGGAAAGGTCTTCCAAAGTTACGTTGATTGGCACATATCTGACACATGTCAATCAATCTCACAAATGTTTACATTGTATCAATTGAGGTGACCATATGCCTAGAAACATGGCAATTTGGCTTATTTGGCAGGATTTTAAGAATCGGGTATAAGAAAGGTAAAGAGACCAAAAGATGACTAAATATGTTCATGGCGATGAATTTAACCAATTTGTGGATAGGGTTAGATGTGTAGAAAATAGAGGTGCAAGGAAAGTGGTGAAAACCTTTTTGTAACAAGTGGAATGCGAAAATGAGTAACTTTTTGACGTATTTCTGAGGTCATATCCTTGTCATTTTGACACAAAAAAGCTACTTAAAGGAGGGCACGTTAACTATAAAAGACATCATAAAAATATAGGTAAATTTCATCCAAAATACTTGAGAGTTGGTGAGTTAACATAACTTTGAATGATCTTTCCAATGGTATATCTCACTAGGTACCATCTGTTATGGTTTTAGCTGTAGCAGGGGGGACGGGACTTATGTGACACCCTGTAGAGTAAGAATTATCCTTAAGGGAGAATAAGATCCATAGGGAGTGACAAAATTGTTGACATACCAATATATATCAGACTGAGCAAGTCTTAAAGTCTCAAACTTTAAGCATCAATCTAAAGTTCATTCACCATGTATATAAAATGAATGTTTTAATGTGATCATATTCATAAATCATCACTATAGTATCTGTATAACTGTTATTAAGAATAGAACCATAACGATGCTTCATGATTATCAGACTGAGCAAGTCTTAAAGTCTCAAACTTTAAGCATCAATCTAAAGTTCATTCACCATATATATAAAATGAATGTTTTAATGTGATCATATTCATAAATCATCACTATGGTATCTATATAACTGTAATTAAGAATAGAACCATAACGATGCTTCATGATTATCAGACTAAGCAAGTCTTAAAGTCTCAAAATTTAAGCATCAATCTAAAGTTCATTCACCATATATATAAAATGAATGTTTTAATGTGCTCATATTCATAAATCATCACTATGGTATCTATATAACTGTAATTAAGAATAGAACCATACCACTTATCTATGATTATCAGACTGAGCACTGTCATACTAAAGCCCTTTAACTTTAGCATTGATCTGAAGTATATTTAAACACATTCACCATGTATATAAAATGAATGTTAATGTGATCATATTCGTAAATCATCACTATGATCTGTATTTGTCTTGTGCTGTTTTAAAAGTAAATTCCAGTAAATAAAATTATTCTACTAAATTTATCCATTTCTTATACCCATTAATTTTATAGCAGTTGCTAAGATTGCTACACTGTTGTTATATGATATGACAGTCTATGTACAATGTAATTATTAGAACAATGTAATTATCTAAATATAACACTATAAAGTATGCCTTACATTTACGTTTTCTCTTATTTCCATTATTGGGCACAAATAGTTCTCATTGCATATATTTAAACTTAAAATTATCCTTAAATTTCAGTATATTTTTCAGTACATTTTTATACTGACTTTTGCACTTAAATTTCAGTACATTTTTCAGTATATATTTGTACTTAAATTTATCCTTAAATTTTCAGTGTATTTTTCAGTATATTTTTGCACTTAAATTTGTCCTTAAAATTCAGTACATTTTTCAGCACATATTTATACTTAAATTTGTACTTAAAATTCAGTATATTTTTCAGTACATGAATTTGTACTGAAAAATATACTGAAAAAAATTCAGTGCATTTTTCAGTAAATGCTCCTTTCAGTACAAATGCTCTGTCCTAGTGATAATGTTCATTACAATCTAAAATATAATATCTCCCAAAAGATCCACGATATGTTATAAATTGGTGAAGTTATTAAGGATTCAAAGAACCAAAATTGGGCATAAAAATAGAAAATAATGCATTATGAGCTATTGTAAAAATCTTCCTCAAATACAGTATACACTTTGGGTATTTTTAGAAAATATATCATGACAAGGAATGATAGGAGTCCAAAATATTCTAAAATTGAAAGAAAAAATTGTTAAGAGATGTCATCAGTCATATCAGTATCTTGCTAGATATGATTCCGCCTTTAAAAATGTTTTGACTGACCCTGTTGATATGGGACAGTGCACTTTATATATACCTTGTTGTGTTAACATTATCTTTCACTAGCTTTATGACCTCATCTGTGTTCCACACTGAACCATCAGTTAAAAGAAATATCTAAAATGGAAAACATTGCATTGTTACCATGCAGTTTGAGTTTTGTAGTAGTTCCAAAATGTGACAAAATAAAATTACATGTCTTGGTTTGCTATGGCAACCCTGGTGTTTCCTGTATATGTTTATATTCTCACCTGTCTTGGGTAGCCATGGCAATCCTGCTATTACCTGTATATATACTTTTTTAAACCTGACTTAAGTAGCTATGGCAACCCTGGTATTTCCTATGGATGTTAATATTCTTACTGTTACATGTCTTGGTTTGCTATGGCAACCCTGGTGTTTCCTGTATATGTTGATATTCTCACCTGTCTTGGGTAACCCTGGCAACCCTGGAATTTCCTTATCCTGTATATGTTTATATTCTCACCTGTCTTGGGTAACCCTGGTAACCCTGGCATTTCCTTATCCTGAATATGTTGATATTCTCACCTGTCTTGGGTAACCCTGGCAACCCTGGTGTTTCCTTATCCTGTATACGTCAATATTCTCACCTGTCTTGGGTCAACCCTGGCAACCCTGGCGTTTCCTTATCCTGTATACGTCAATATTCTCACCTGTCTTGGGTAACCCTGGCAACCATGGCGTTTCCTTATCCTGTATACATCAATATTCTCACCTGTCTTGGGTAACCAGGTAAGATATCTTGCTCATAGATCCATTTAAATGGTGCCAATATTTCTGTACCACCAAGATCAGCTCCCATGGACTTCTGCAGTTGGAGACCTTCATCCAAACTACTCTTACTATACTCCTGACTCTTCCTGAAAAAAGCTTTTAGTAGTTCTCTATTTCTGTAGTACCAGGCATCATGGCACCAAACAGAGAAATGACTGCATGCTGTTGAAGAATTCATACATTTTCACTTGCTTTAATATAATGGACATGGTGAATTGGAACTAGAACACAAATGCCTATAACCATTGATCTTTGTTTTTAACTGATGAATCAATGGGATGTACATGTACCTTATACTACATACACTATATTGTTACATACTTTGATGAATTGTGGAAAATATCTAAGACGATTCGTGACACTCATTTTTTACTTAAACATTTAAGGAGTATTGGAGGGTATGAGTCGTTTTAAAATATTGTTTCTTTTTTGCAGCTTCTGAAACAGCTATCCAAAAAGCTTTGTGTAAAAAAAACCATATGTCCATAGAGTTTGAGACCAATCTGCCAACCTGTATTTGAGTTATGACCCATATGATGAGCAAACAGAAAAATCGCTTCTCTATATTCCTCTGGATGAGATAATTATTTATAAAATTCTGTTCTAAATTTTCTCTAAGTAAATTCAAATATGATCAAGCAGATCTCTGCAATAAACAACATGTTTCATTATTCTCTGAGCAGATGGACATCTTGGAATATACACTGTTCCATATATACAAGAGTTGGTCATAAGGTTCTCATAACATCTTCTAAAATTTTGATTTTCAATATATTTCCTTGGAATTTTCACTGAATGTGCAGCCTACAGGTATAATGACTTATCAATTGAGCAAATTAAGATATTTCGTATAACAGAAAAATCTAGCAACATGCGGTAAATAAAAGACCTAAGAGCACCCCCATTTATCATGTTTTTATGAACGTTTTCAAATACCTTATTACAATCAGTATAATTCTATTCTCTAAAGATTTCAGCATCCATCGCATTTATCTATCCCATTATCGTTTCAGAACATTAGCTTTGAGTCTCAAGAGAATTTTGTCATATCTTAATGAACCATGTAAACATTCCCTATGACATCACACAACTCACAAAATCATTTTGTAATAGTTAAAAACGGTAAACAACACATACAAGTTAAAGGTGCAACAATTAGTGCAGGGGCGCCATTCAACGATCATCGACCAGTGTCAAAATATATTTAAGTTTGGATATTTCATCAAGACTAACATATGTTTTTATTATCTACAAAGAAACCCCCTGGATGATCAATATTTCAGCGTTTATTCTTACATTTTAAAAAAATAGGTAGGCCAAATATTGACCTGATAGCTCAGAAAAAATTGTGAATTTTCTCTCTACAGTCCTTGTTGCCCCTTTAACATTTTAATGTGTTTGATATCTTATCTGATAGGCTTTTAAGTAGGTAAACGTGGTTAATAATGATTCTCACTATTTTTTATTAGCTACGGGTCCATTGATTTTTGGTTAGTAATGGCAATCAAATATTTCTTTTATGCCAAATATTTTTGGCTAAGTTAAATATTCTTAGTGCTACACAATCTGAAAAAAATTTCAATTGGAATATTTTGAAAACAAATAAATTAGGGAGATATTATGAGAAACTTTATGTTCAACCCTTATATTTCCAAGTATTAAACAACTAAATGACAGAGGGCTTCATTGTGTTCCTATGCAGCTTATGGGGCAATGATTCATTTGGATGAGTAAAAAAAACTTACTTGAATAATGTTTTGTAGGATGATCCAAAAGACACAATGTTATAGTAAGATCCTACAGGTAGACTTTTGAGGAACAGATGCAGGGTTTCCTTGGCTTGAATAATCCTCTTACCACCCATGCTACCTATATTACAAAAGAGTCAACCATTTTACAACAAACAAAATAGATGCAGGTTTCTTTGGCTTGAATAATCCTCTGACCCATGCTACCTATATTACAAAAGAGTCAACCATTTTACAACAAACAAAACAGATGCAGGTTTCCTTGCCTTGAATAATCCTCTTACCACCCATGCTACCTATATTACAAAAGAGTCAACCATTTTACAACAAACAAAATAGATGCAGGTTTCTTTGGCTTTAATAATTCTCTAACCCACGCTACCTATATTACAAAAGAGTCAACCATTTTACAACAAACAAAATAGATGCAGGTTTCTTTGGCTTTAAAGGCCCCGTGTAAAGTTTAAACCACTTTGGCTTATATTGTAGTCTTACCCAATGTTATCAAAGTGTGATATGTGAAACTTTTTTTTTAAATTTCAAAAAGTGGTTTTTGATAGACTTTTTGTTCCAAAATTTGTGAATTTATTTAAAACCAACTTTTAGAGGTCACTTATATCTTTTAATTAGCCACAATTCATACCAATGCATAGCATTCATCCTCCCATGTTTTTTGCCGAAAAAATTAAGAAAATCGGTTGATAAACAAGCGAGAAATGAACTTATCAGTGCATGAAAATGGTTCTGAGAAAAATGCATTTCAAAATTTTAGTTCTCATAGAAACCAATGGTACAACGATATCTAAAACATAATTTATTCTTCCTTTTAACCTGGTTAGACAATCAACATTGGTTTTTTATGAAAGTCTAGCATATTTAGAAAAGATTGACATCGAAAAAAAAAATTCAATTTTTTTCAAAAAGTTTTTGTTACCTTAGTGACATCACTAATGTTTCAAAATATTTTTGATAAGCTAAAACATTGAAGTGGCCCATTAAATATGACATTTTATTATTGAAATAGTGTGTCTTTTGTTCAATCTTTGCATTGGTGTTAAAAGGATAATCTTTTTTGAAATGCATTAAGAAATATTTGATGATTAAGAAATTTTAACTTTTTTAAAAAAAATGGCGGGAAATTTGAATATTTGAGAAATGAAATCCTCACAACTTTTTTTTCAAAAATTTTTTTTGTTCAAAAATCTCTAAAATCACTTTTTAAGTCCTAACAAATAGTAAATGAATTATAAAAAAATATTTTCAAACTTTAGACGGGGACTTTAATAATTCTCTAACCCATTGCTACCTTTATTGGATAAATGTGTCCTCTTACCTGATCTGTCCACTACAAAGATGTACTCAGCATTGCCACTAAACTCAACATCTTTTAGCTCTGGGTAGAAGTTTAACATGACAACATCCTGGCTAAGGTATCCATCTAAAATTGCAAGTGATGACGATAAAATAATCATGAGCCAATGGGCAAATTTACCATTCAACATTGTTCTAGTACTCTAGGAGCAAGGAGGAAAATTCTCAATAGATGGTGTATAAATTTTGGACTTAAAACCTTGGACTTCCTTAAAACCAATCTACTATGTTTTATATGGTTCCACACTATAAAAGCATAAATATCATCATATAGGGGTGAATCTAGAAACTATAGGGGTCAGCTATAACCATACACAAAATCTAGCTGTCAAAAATGTCACATTTTTCAAAAAATCAATTTTTTTCTCAGCTCCCACCTCTTCAATGGCTTTGCATCTTTTAGGGTTACTAACCCTGCTATTGAACACTTCACATGAATTTTTTCAACCTCTTACAGTGTCTAATCAAAGTTAGAAAAGTTTGAATCAAAATAGTAAGAAAATGAGTCACAAATTTGCCCCCTGGGATACACACTTTGTACTAATATTCAAATTCTTTAGGAGTAATCAGCACCAATTATACTGCAAATGATTCATATATTATATAATATCTATGTATCTCACTCACAAACATCAAAACATCTAAAGTCACTGGTTATATCACTTCGTAGCTGAAAACAGTAGTATGATATCGTATTATTTCACAAACAAGTATGTAGACAATGGTATGATGTCGAATCATTTCACAGCGAAATTTCAAAACATGTAAAATGTTATACAGTTCTACTAGCATCAAAATTACCAGAAGTACAGAGTATATATTGAACATAATCACAACTGACCAAATCAAAATGCGTAAAAACTCCTAGACATGTGATAAAATCATCATCACATCACAGGAAATATCACACTTAGGTAACAATGTATTACCACTCAAGCTTCGCTTTCGTGGATGATACAGTATTACCTTTCATGAAATATTTCCTGTATCACATGCTGAAACGTGTGATAACTGATATTATTATATCACTGTCATATTCCTCACTCTCTTATTGGTCCATGTCCTACATCAAATGATATTCAACGGTCATGACTTATACATCCACGGGGTTGACTTAGTCCAGTGTAATTTTCATTTTATATATCCCATAATAACCAAAATGGCAGACGGTAAACAAAGGTTTTCAAATATTTCTGCAGAAGAAATTGAAAGAATCCACGGGAATATTCATTCAGATAACACAATAAAGGCAACAAAAAGATCAGTGAAGATCTTTCAAAATTGGATATCTAGCAAAGACGATGTGATGAAAATGAAAAATTGAAGAAATATAAATGTATTTCAATGTTAACATAATAATGACTTATTTAATTATAGAAGATGTTATGACAGTGATATAATAAAACAAATATTTAATTCTATTTTCGGTGAATACCTGTGACACTTTCACAAGATGATATTCCACTAGCCCTTCGGGCTTCGTGGAATATCACTTGTGAAAGATGCACAGGTATTCACCTCAATAGAATTAAATATTTGTATAATATTATTTGATTACCTTTATCCTTACTGCCCTGTTCCAGTACCATATGAGGTTCAAATGTGAGGTCATAGAAGACAAGGAATGTGAGGTCACAATCAAACTTGAAGCTTTCTCGTAGTGTGGCCTGAAAGTGAACATATACGTCATTGACATGTGTATAAGTCTGGGTGGCTAACATTCCTAATGTTAACTTAATGAAGTTTCTGTTGCTGACCCTCCCAAACACTCTTTAGGCCATTCAAAATTGGAGTACATTTTTCAAAATGGCTGCTGCATTGAGTAATCAGTTTTTCAAAAGAATTGAACATATACAGTTTTAATACTGACCTTTGCCCTTTTCTTCTCATTGTCCTCATATTCCACATTGACATCATATTTGTTAGCTTTGACATCATTAATGACATAATCTGACGTCAGGTGCACTGCACATTCTAGTGAATATGGAATCTCTGAGCCCTTTGTGAAATTGATGGCATCATTTGGCTTTTCTGTATTTTGAGCGGATCCTTAATGAATAAAAATAGATACATTCATATAATATGCAAGGAAATAATCTGATATTCCCTGATAACCTAACCACAGACCAGTTCATTAGCAAATAATAGAAAGAGAAAATATATATAGACAACCATGCAGTAGAAAGGAAAACATATAGGACTTCAATAACTAACAATGCTATATTTTATTGGAAATTATTAAAAATTAGAATCCAACACCTCTCCGGAAGTTAAAACTATTCATCAAAACTATTAAGATTCAAATTTATCTTTACTGTTGATAATACAAACGTAGTACTTCCCAAAAACTGTTTGTGTTATTTGATTAACTTACCCTCTGGACTGTATCTTGGATTAAGTACGATGGGCAGTACATATTTCACACTCTTGTCTGCTTCAATTGTTAAATCACTAACATATGAGAGCTTAATCTTGACATCTGTTTTAGCAGGGACATTACCCACAGTACATTTGAATATATCTCCAGTGTTGCGATCTTCTTCAAGAATAAATGCACTTCGACCGGCCTGTATTGCATCTTCATACGTCTTTTTAGCCTTGATAAAAGTTTAGATAATAAATCTAGAATTAGAAAATGTATTTGAAATGCACATCAAATTATGCATCATATGCTAGGGCTATTGTAAATGAATTGAACAGAGTGAGAAGCAAATGTATTGGGCGGTCCATCGTGTACATTGTACATCAAATTATGCATCATATGCTAGGGCTATTGTTAATGAATTGAACAGAGTGAGAAGCAAATGTATTGGGTGGCCCATCATGCACATTGTACATCAAATTATGCATCATATGCTAGAGCTATTGTAAATGAATTGAACAGAGTGAGAAGCAAATGTATTGGGTGGCCCATCATGCACATTGTACATCAAATTATGCATCATATGCTAGGGCTATTGTAAATGAATTGAACAGAGTGAGAAGCAAATGTATTGGGTGGCCCATCATGCACATTGTACATCAAATTATGCATCATATGCTAGGGCTATTGTAAATGAATTGAACAGAGTGAGAAGCAAATGTATTGGGTGGCCCATCATGCACATTGTACATCAAATTATGCATCATATGCTAGGGCTATTGTAAATGAATTGAACAGAGTGAGAAGCAAATGTATTGGGTGGCCCATCATGCACATTGTACATCAAATTATGCATCATATGCTAGAGCTATTGTAAATGAATTGAACAGCGTGAGAAGCAAATGTATTGGGTGGCCCATCATGCACATTGTACATCAAATTATGCATCATATGCTAGGGCTATTGTAAATGAATTGAACAGAGTGAGAAGCAAATGTATTGGGTGGCCCATCATGCACATTGTACATCAAATTATGCATCATATGCTAGGGCTATTGTAAATGAATTGAACAGAGTGAGAAGCAAATGTATTGGGTGGCCCATCATGCACATTGTACATCAAATTATGCATCATATGCTAGGGCTATTGTAAATGAATTGAACAGCGTGAGAAGCAAATGTATTGGCTGGTCCATCGTGTACATTGTACATCATGAGAACTTGAGAAATCATTAAAATTGATGAATCCAAGAGATCCCTGAACAGTACACAAAAATAATAATACATTTTAATGAGTAAGTCACTCACCTGTTCAATTTCCTGGCACTCTGCTACAATGATACGTCCTTCAATCTCAGCCTCAAAGTTATATACTGCACTTTGGTCATCCAATGGGAAGAAAAATGTTGCTTCAAATGTCTCATCAGATGAATTCTCATATAACAAAGTGGATTCGGTGTTGGAGACAAATCCTTGAATTTCTACATTTACAGATATGTTCTTAAGAGGAACTGCAATAGAATATAAATAAATATGTAGAGTTATATTAAGGGGGTTATAAACAGTGGTTATAAAAGAATATTAATTCATTGGATGCTAAACCCAGAATTATCAAACTGCATGTAAGGGATTGTGTTGAGATCTTGATGACTACATTATGTCATTACAATTATTTGACAAAGGGACTAGATGAACAAGTTGCTTGCTTATCCAAGTTGCTTGCTCATGCCTAACCATCGTCTCAATACAGCGTCAAAAAATAGCGGACAGGCCCGTAGCCAGGATTTGCCAAGGGGGGGTTCAGTTTTCAAAAATTTCCAGGGGGGGTTCACATTTGACAATTTTGGCCCAAATATGGCTAAAATCACTTGAGAAGTGCTCAAAATGGTGAAAAACTGCATGATTTTGAAAGAATTTTTGGCCAGGGGGGGGTTCGCCCGAACCCTGCGAACCCCCCCTGGCTACGGGCCTGGCGGAGTACAGTTTTCTGTACGGTGACGCAAATTGACTGCTTTGAAGCAAAAACTATGGCAAAGGTTTTAAAAAAATTAATTTGATGAAAACAAATACGATTTCATGTGAAATAAAAATTGGTTTTAACTTTCTAAACATAATAAAAGTTTTACGAGCACTGTCCGGATTTTTTCTGAGTGAATCGGCCCACATAATCGACCAAAGTGATTTTTCCACATTTCGTTTGGTTATTATTTTTCCTACCGTCTGAGAGTATGGATTATTTTTATGAGAATATGTATTTGTTACTTACACATTTTAGAATGGGCGAAGATTCAGCAAATAACCATTCATTGTGTGTATTTAAAAAAGATCAGATTTGTGCGGCGACGCATCAGCTGTACGGTGACGCTTAATGGAAGGTTAATGGAAATGTATGATATGGTAAGGATCATGAAACCAAAAACTCAGTATATTTGTTGCTATGTTATTGATGTTTTTAAACAAGTGATGTCATCTAAATCTCATCTTGCACGTGTGACTTTTTAGGATGAAAGATGCAATATCTTGCATGGGGTGAAGATGGCTCTAGGCTATCTTTGTTAGTCATATGAGAAAAGCTTGGTTTAGTTCAAATTATATCAAAGCATTACGTCAACTTTCAAATAGTTAATTCCATGAAAACTGAAAATATCGAAATAAATACTTCCTGTCCGCCATCTTAAATGCGAAGGTGATGGCCGTAACCTTCGCTTGATACTTACCAGTGATAATGTACATGTAGATCTGACACTTCTTTACCTCTTGTTCGAACAGTAAGCTGTGTTTCAGTATTTAATCCTTGTTATCCGGAATGAATGGAAACATAAGAATTGATATTTTTCAATGTTGAATGGGATACAACATTTGAATTTCTACACAAAAACTTATGGAATCTTACGTTAATTAGCTCATATATTACACTTCATTAATTCTAAGGAATCGTCACCATACAGCAGATGCGTCACCGTACAGATCTGATCTTTTTTAAATATATACAGTGAATGAATATTTGCCGAATCTTCATTTGTTTTAAAATATGTAAATAACAAATACATATTCTCATAAAAATTATCCATACTCTCAGACGACAGGGAAAATAATAACCAAACAAAAAGTGAGAAAAACAACATTTTTCTTTCGAATCGACTATGTGGGCCGATCCAGTCAGAAAAAATCTAAGCAGTGCTCGAAAAACTTTTATCATAATTAGAAAATTGAAACCATTTCTAAGAGAATGTTGTTTTTATTACACCCGAAATCGTATTTATTTTCATCTAATTACTTTTTTTAAACCCTCATTACAGTTTTTACTTCACTCTGTTAATTTTCGTCAGCGTACAAAAATTTGTACTGCTGTATTTTTTGACGCTGTACGGTGACGCCTGCTTACGCGATGGTTAGGCGTGTTGCTGTAGAATTACATCCCAGCCTTTCAGTAGGTTCGCTTTAGGTGATATATTTAACTAGGATTTCTAGGTTCGCTTTAGGTAGTTCCCCATATAAAAACTCCATTGGTAGGTTCGCTTTAGGCGATGTTCAAATATGCTAATTAGGTCTAGGTTTACTTTAGGTGATCACCTAAAGCGAACCTATAACTACCTATAACTACCTAAACTACCTAAAGCGAACCTAGGTAGGTTCGCTTTAGGTAATTATAGGTTCGCTCTAGGTAATTATAGGTTCACTTTAGGTGGTCACCTAAAGCGAACCTGAATCTAATTAGCATATTTGAACATCGCCTAAAGTGAACCTAAAACTACCTAAAGCGAACCTACGTAGGTTCGCATTAGGTAAATACTTCCAAGGGCTGGGTTGGCTTTAGACCACCCAGCAGCTGGATGACTTGATTTGTTGATTTGAACTGTTTATATATTTCTCACACATTTTGATGCATATATTCTCACGCAAGTACATTTATTTACAATGATGGTCCTAAGCTGGCCTATGGAGGTAGCCGGGTGTCTGGACCCTACAAACTTGTGAACTGTATAGGCTATATGTCAACTGTTTATTTATTTCTCACACATTTTGATGCTTAGTTTCTCACTCAGGTACATTTATTTAAAATTCCTCCTATTTTATATTTGCATGCTTTTATAACACTAAACCTCTTGAATACCAGCCTCTAAAAAGGGTTTGAACCCAGAGTATATTGTTTATTTTTTGCCAGTTATTTTGATATTTACATCTAAAAACACAACAGTTGATGTTTGATTTCATGAGAATAGTAAACATAGACCCTCATTTTAAAACATCATTTGTGAAGATTGGATAAAAATTGCCAAAGTTAGAGCAGTTTTAGTGAAAAATTCTGTGACAGATATATCTGTCATTCTGGGTATTCAAGAGGTTAAAATAATATATTGATTGATCATTTGTACACTTACTTACATGTACTTTGTAAATGAGCACTGATGTGATGGTCATTTCAGCATATTTCCCCATTTTCCTGGCTATTTCCAAATTTCCTGTCTAACTGATTTTAGTTTGAATATTATACCCACAATGCATTGATACTTCCTGCTATCAGCGCCCCTAGTGGCTGTGACAGAACTTCTGTTTTGTAGGTTTGCTTTAGGTAGCTTTAGGTAGCTTTGGGTTCGAACCTAAAACTACCTACAAGTTTGAAGTGTTTTAGGTAGATTTAAGATTTTTAGGTTCGCTTTAGGTAACTCTTGAAGAATGACTATGTTTTTTAGGTTCGCTTTGGGTTCGAACCTAAAACTACCTACAACTTTTCGATTTTTTAAGTGTTTTAGGTAGTTTTAGGTAACTCTAGATAATTTCTAAGATTTTTTGGTTCGGTTTAGGTAAATCCTGAAAAAGTATAACATTTTTAGGTTCGCCTTAGGTTCGAACCTAAAACTACCTACAAGTTTCTGATTTTTTTAAAGTGCTTTAGGTAGTTTTAGGTTCGAACCTAAAGCGAACCTACATGAAGTAGGTTCGTTTAGGTAGCCATCAAATTGTGGGATTCACTTTTAGGTTCGCTTTAGGTTCGAACCTACATCACCTACTGAAAGGCTGGGATACATGTATATAAAATACTATAAACCCGGGTTGCTTGCTGTAAAACATAAATACTATAAATAGACTGTGGCCCATTCTGTAGAAGTGCTCTAGAAATGCATCCTTCCTGTCATGGAAGGTCACATATTCCAACCTATTTCAAACCATCTGTATGATTATGCTGGACACTTTCTGGGTAGTTGGACTTCATGTAGGGGTGGCAGATGGCCCTCGTGCCAATTTATACCCCAACCCCAAGAAATCCTTGGGGGTACTTTAATTCCACCAAATAAAAAAGAATACTAATACATATCAGATATTCATTGTTTTATAGTGGGTAGGGCATGCCATGGTTAATCAGTGCCAGACATTTCCAATCTCTGACTTATATGGTTACCATGGAAACAGTATTTATATCTCACAATCTTCTCAATTTGACACCCTATCAAATGTGTCCTTTAGTTTTCAAAGTGAAATATTATTGCAAATCTATTTGGATTTTGTGGCTGCCACTTTGTCAAAACTTGTATAAATATGTATGTATTTACACTAAAGCACTAAAAAGTTGATATAATGATCCCATAAATTAGTAATATCTATCAAATATAGTCACACACAACTACTTTTAGGAAAACGTGGGCGTAGCACTTTTGGTCCTTGTGAACTTGTTGCAGCATTAAATGAAAAATACATGTTACACTAACATGTTACATGAAAAATTCATATTACACTAACAACAATTGACATTTAATTATCATCTACTAACACTACTGTATGTGACATTGTAATGTGTTCATTATCATTATTAGACTTTAATTGTGTTATCAAGATGTACCCCTGGGATGGCATATCTTTGCATGGTAATGGTTCTGCTATTTCAAAGAGGGTGAAAGTCAGTTAAACTAAGTTGAACCCAGACAGGGGTGACCAAAAGCTGTAACTTTCCCTAGTCAGATTGATGCAATAACATGAATATTGGATGAATTTCTATCAGAAAAATTGCAGACATGACTGATTCAAGTGTTGGTCGCCAGATATCGCCAGTTATTCCAGAGGTGTGGATCAATGGAAAACATCTGAAGACAATTGAGACAATGCACCTATCTTTTCTTAAATGCCTGTTGGGTGTTAAAAAATCAACCGCAACACCAGCAATTTATGGAGAATTGGGACGGTACGCGTTAAAAATACGCTTTGAAATCAAATTAATTAAATATTGGCTCCGTTTACTTCATCTATCACAGAGAAAAATTCTTCATAAAACATATATGACCGTGAAATGAGTCAATTTGGTTTTAAAGGCACTTGGTCAAACAAAGTCATTGATATATTAAAAAAGTATGATTTATTATCTTATTGGGATACTCAATAGATTGATGATGACAATATTTTTATCAAGACAATAACAAAAACACTGTATCAGAATTATAAAACTCAGTGAAAGAAAGATATATTAAATTACCCTGTCTTGAGAACTGATGTTAAATTCAAAAATGTCTTTGAAAGAGATCGAGTTATTTAAATATCCAAAATAAAAATTACAGGCAAGCAATTTGTAGATTTAGGCTTAGTTCCCACAAGTTACATGTAGAACTTGGTCGTCATTTGAAGCCAAAGCCAAAACCTGTAGATGAACGTTTATGTAATATTTGTGGTATTTTAGAAGATGAACAACTCTTCATCATGATTTGTAAGAAAAACACTACAGAAAGAAAACTTTTGTTTGACACCCTTACACAATTTAATTTTGTAGGCAGTCCTGACATTATTTTTAAAAAACTGATGTCTCACAAAAATTCTTATGTAATTTTACATTTAGCAAAGTTCATCTATCATTCACTCAAAAATTGGATTAATGTGTCAACGATGCATCACACTGATATTTAAATTTCTGTCAAGTCGAATCTGTATTTTACAATTATCTTGTATTTTTGTATTTTACATTTGATGATGTAATTAGAATTGTATTTTATAACAACTTTATTTTTGTATTCAGTAGTTAGTTTAGCCTTAGGTCCGTTTTGTAGATTGTAGGCTTAGTTTTTTAGTGACTAATATGTCATTGTAATGACATCAGAGAGTCAATAAAAGATTCATAATGTTTTAGAAATGACATTGATGTGTGACAAGTTTGACTGAGGAACAATATTCAATAAATTGGTCATTTTGATCTTCCGTGCAGACTTGATCCACACTTACAGCCTTTGGCTCAACCCAGCACCACGTTCGTGTTGGAGCATATTCCTGTTACTTTCACAGTACATCAGTATAATACAGAGCTGTCAAGTGTCCCGCGAATGGCGGGATTATCCCGCGAATTTGATCAAAATTAGGCTAATTCGCGTGTCCCGCAATGTCCCGCGAAGTCCCGCAAATGTGGTTTTTGACCTCCGCGAATTTCCGAAATTTTTGCAATCCCCTATATTGTGATTATCTTATCTTATAAAAGAAGCTAAGTTTTTGCACTTTTGAGGAGTAAAGTTTACCTAATTTTAAGTACCTAGCATGCTGTTGTTTGGTATCAAAATAAAGAGGAAGGGTTCAATTTTCATTTTAATTACGAAAATAGGGATGTAGGTCAAAAATAGTTCTAACGTTGGTTTTTACTATCTGTGTGGCCTTCATCTCAGAACTGAGCAAATGTTAGCAAACGCGAGTTACAATAAATGGACGCTGATGTTCAAATAAAAAGCATTTTAAGGCTCTTTTCGTCCTCTATCATCATATTTCCATTGGTAATGAAAGGGGGAGGGGGGGGATGCGATCGCACCCCCTCCTGGCTACGCCAATGACATTGTAAGACGATTTGAAAAACAAGACAAATCAATCTTACTCCATTTTCAATAGTTCGTTTGTTGGTACGTGAATTGTTTTGATTATGATTTCAATCTGTAAATAGCTATCGTTGCTTTAGCAGGGAGGTGACGTGTTAATTTACATGATTTTGATTATTAATCATAATTTAAGTTATCCCAATTTTCGACAAAATGTCCACTGAATTGTAAATTGTTATGTCTTACAATGTCATAAGCGTAGCCAGGAGATGGTGCGATGGTGCGATCGCACCCCCCCCCCCCATAACCGATGAAAATATGGCCATGACGATAGAGGAAGAGGATTTACTACCCGGTACCCGGTTTTTCTACAATGCACCCTTTCTAGAAAAGTAACCCCATTCCCTATAATTTGATGTTGATTAATCGAACCCCTATATCATGGGCTTTCAATTGAAAGAAAATGCCATGAATAGGTACATTTTAATATATAACATTATGGGGGTAAGCGTTTCATAGTTGGTCATGACGCCAGAAGTGCAAAGTATTGTTCCGAATTTTTGAATTTCGTGTTAGATTACGGTACTCACACCTGAAGCATGGTTTTTGTTTTTCATAAATTACAATGAAGTATGATAATATTCCTATGCGTATTTTGTGAAATTGTGTTGACGTTTATTTAAGTTACAATGTAACGGTGCATTATATTTGATTAATCAGTATCTGAAAGTTTGATTTAAGTACTTTTACACGCTTTTACATTAGTCCCAATCACGCAAATCCCTTGAATGTCCCGGGACATCCTGCAAATTTAGGTGGATGTCCCGCGAAATCCCGCAAATTTAGGGCACTTTGTCTAAAAAATCTGTCCCTCTATGAAGTTTTTGGTGGTACCCCTGTTAACTTTCCCGCAATTAGGGTGTTTGTCCCTCGAATGGTCCCGCGAAATCCCGCGAATTTAGTAGATGTCCCGCAAAATCCCACAAATTTTGGGCACTTGGTCTAAAAAATCTGTCCCGCGAGAAAATCTTTAGGGGTTGACAGTACTGATAATACTCAACAATGCATACTAGAAAAAATAGTCAGATATTATGAAAAAATAACTGTAGACTAACTGTGATTATTTCCACAAAATAATTTTTTGGGGAAATCCTGACCCTGGTGCCTACGGCCATGTAGTATCTAGCCCAAATAGCAAAAGTGCTGCCATCTACCTACTATCTAGTATCAATCCATCTATCCACATACATAGCACCTAATGAGGTCAGTACTACAAGTAAAGCTTTTGCCTCCTGTCTATGGTAAAATAAATAAAACAGAAAAGTTATTTTTGACACCATTGGTGATGCCTACCTTGTAGGGTATGGGGATAAAAGGAAACGTCATGATAACACTTAAAATGTCTTAAGTATCTAATATAATGATAATGAACATATTACAATTTCACATAGTGTTAGTAGATGATAATTAAATGTCAATTGTTGTTAGTGTAATATGAATTTTTCATTTAATGCTGCAACAATTACACAAGTACCAAAAAGTGTCACGCCCTCTTTTCCCTAAAATTTGTTGTGTTACTATATTTGATAAATATAATTGATTTATGGGAGCATTATATCAACTTTTTAGTGATTTTGTGTGTATATACATGTATACATCAGCGGTGGCGGTAGGCATATATTTTTGTGAGTCATCATGACTCAGGTAGTTTCAAAAAAGTGAGTCACAAGAAAAAAAGTTGAGTCAAAGCTATAAAAGTGTTTTTCTTGAGTAAAAATGCATACAAAATGTAGAAACCACATACAAAATATTGATTTTGTGCATACCTTTTATTGTACTCTTAAAGCACATTAACAACTAACAATTAATTAATTAGGCAATTGCAAGAAAAATGTCACTATTAATCATCTGATTATCTGGTCCAGCGAGTCATGGGTGTGAATGGAGTGGGAGAGGAGTTTCTCCCTGTGTGGAGTTACACAAATTGGGGTCAAAGCGTTTCATGTTGAAATTCAACATTTTTGCAATCATTCCAAAGTCTAAAACGGCAATATAAGTCCGACCACAATACTGGGCATCATTTAAATTGAATACGGTAGAATCTTGTAATTATAAAATGAAACCGAAAGTAGATTTGTTTTCATACCTAATTTATCATCATTACCCCCCTTAATGTGCGATCGACTGGATTTTCATGTGCCCATTATCTATCTTCATAGGATCAGCTACTTCAGATCTAGTGAATCGAAGATCTTAACTTGAGGGAGTTAATTGAAAATACTTGGTGAAAACTTACGATAGATCGGTCACTGTGAGCACCATTGATAAACCTACTGCGCATTACATCTGCGCATGCTGATGAAGGGGACGGCTCAAGGAAACTTGCTAACTTAGCGAAGGAATTTTGCGAACTTGCGAAGGAAACTAAAGGTTCGTAAATCTAGCGTGTGAACATTCAAGGAAGGATTTTATGCGGTAATTTAGATAAATATACGATCACTAAAATCCTTAGAAGGGAGTATGAAATTAATAAATTATTGTTCAATGTTATGTTCGTTTTATTGCATTTTTGATACGCCCCCTAGCACACGAGATAAACAAATCGAGGGATCGATCAATGTTTTCAAGTTTATCATTGAATCTGAATCACAGGGCTTTAAAAATTATATGAAATACCGAAATAAGAAAATGATCGGTAGGAAGGAGGCTCGATTGCGCTGAACGAAATGTTAGATTTCCGGAATTAGCAAAATTATAAATTTGATCAATCACGTATTTTCACGTATAGGGATCAATTTAACCAAGTACCAAGCGGGGATTTTGCATGTGAAACAAACGTGCGTCAGAAAGACTCGGTAGACAATGAATATTTGCGTCAGAGTTGCAAAAATGTGAGTAAAAAACGTAAAAAATTGCGTTAACGCCACCTCTGTACATATTAATAAAATATTTGACAAAGTAGAAGCCACAAAATTCAAACAGATTTGCAAATATTTCACTTTGAGAACCAAGGGACATATTTGGGGGGTCAAATTGAGAAGATTTTGATATCTAAATACTGTTTCCATGGTAACCATATAAGTTAGAGATTGGACATTTCTGGCACGGACTAACCATGGCATGCCCTACTTACAATAAAAAACTATGAATTTATGACATGCATTAGTATTCTTTTTATTAGGTGGTATTAAAGAAAGGTTTACTTTGGATAGGGGCATAAATTGGCCTGAGGGCTGTCTGCGATCCCTACATGAAGTCCAACTACCCAGAAAGTGTCCAGCATTATCATAAATATTGTTTGAAATATGTTGGAATATGTGACCTTCCATGACAGGAAGGTGTTACAATTATCAGAGTGGACCATTGTCTAAAACCTGAGTTGCTTGCTGCATGTAGAATTACATCCAAGTCCTTTTTGGAATTTTTGGTCGGTATACTATTTCTAAATATTTTGTATTCCTTACCTTCCTCTTGGTTGGTAGATTTAATGAGTCCACATTTCATATTGATATATTTGTATGTTGTCCAATATAATGAATGTTGTCACAATTTGAGATTTGTTGTCACAATCTAAGGTATGTTGTCACAATTTGAGATTTGTTGTCACAATCTAAGGTATGTTGTCATAATCTGAAAAACATTTTCAAAATCTCCTGAATCTGTGAACTGAGCACAAAGTAATGGTTGAGGTTCATTACATATCCCCCCCCACCAGCATTTTCTTCTTTTAGTACAACTGTTGTGAGATCAAGGTCAACTCGAGGAGATAATCTAATTCTCTTTACTGGATATCTTAATATCATCATGGGGATAGATACAAAATCCTCATTATAAGAAGAGCTCAAGTGGATTGAGTCTCAACAATTAGATCTATGTCATATTGGTAGAATCCATCTTCAGTAGGCTTTAAAGCTTTTTTGTTTTGTATAAGCTTTTCAATCCTCTGTGACTTAAATGCTTAAATAACTCTTAATCTAGGATACATGTTTATTGTTCAATGTTAAAGCTTAAAGGCCTTGTAAAAAGTTTGAGAATATGTTTTAATCATTCATTTAACAAGTTTTCATGACTTTAAAAGTTAATTTAGAGAGTTTTGTAAAAAACTATTTTTAAAAAAGTTTTTAGCAATTCAGAATCAAAATATATGATTCATATCGTAATTTACACTTTTAGCGGGGTCAGATGTCCTTTTTTTGTTCGGCTTTTTCAGGAAAGCAACAAACTTGGCACAGTTGTAGAATCATATGATCTGAGTGAAAAATGATTTCAGGGCAAGTGATTTGGGGTGGTCTTCATGGATTTTTTAGCCTCCAACCCCCCGCCCCTACCAGACTGGGAGGGGTTTATTATTAAAATTAAATAAAAATGGTTTAAAAGTATTTTTCTTTAAATGACTTCATTTAGTGATTGCTTTGAGCCTTGAAATTGTGTAAAACCCAATTAAGAAGTTGTCTGTAGCAAGAAAAACTCATTTTAACCCAATTATCTAAGAATAATTCATTGTTTAAAGGGCCAAATATGGGACATCCAGTACTGTATTTTAAGAATGTGATGTCTGATAGTCCTGAAAAAATTGATAGTAGTAGAGGTTTAAGTGTTTATCACAGATAGAAAATATACCATGGGTGACTCAAAAAATTCTCGAAATTTCAATTTTTAAGTGCATGCGGCTCAGGGGTAACCTTATTTCACCTTAATAATTTTTAAAATATGCAATGTATGCATCTCATATGAGGTCAAAATGATGCATAGATCATTGTTTTGTCACATTATTCCTAATTAGATGTAAAAAAATTATTGGCAATTTTTCAAAAATCCAAATTTTCATTTTCGCTTCTAAAAGGCCAGGGGTAACCATATTTTACCTTAATAATTTTCAAGATATGTAATATATGCATCTCAAATTAGCTCAAAAAGGTGCATATAGCTTTGTTTTATTAGATTACCCTTGATTAGATGTAGAAAAATGATTTGACATTTCTTAAAAATCTAAATTTTCATTTTAGCTTATTGTGGCCCCTGGGTAGCCATATTTTACCTCAATAATTTTCAAAGTATGAGACGTGTGCATCTCAAACGAGCTTTAAAGGGTTTTTTAATCTTCTTTTGTCATATATTATTCTTAGGGAATGTAAAAAATGTTTGAAAATTTGAAAAAATGACATTGTCATATTAGGCCATAAGAATTAGATTCTCTGTTTTGCGTCCTGGTAAATCCAAATCATGCAAGGGTACAAGGAAAACAAACACAAACTCAAGAAAAAACACAAACTTGTTTGCTGAGAAATGTATACATTTTATAGGCATTAAAAGGGATGACATACCAATTTGCAGTGATACAAACACAGATCTATACATTTTATACAATATATTTAAATATAGGTGTTATTCAAGGGTAAAAATAAGAAAATACACAACGTATGCCAAAGTAATCAATAACACTATTTTGACGCACATCAATTTATCCGCCATTTCGTCTGATTCTGATTGAACGAAATGCGATGTTACTTTCAGACCCTTGTGGTTGCTATTTGGATGTGTTTTTTTTCTGATTTACTCAAAATCGTGCAAGCGAGGGGACACAAAACAGAGAATCTAATTCTTACGGCCTTAGCTTTTGATGCCATTTTACGGTATTTATTTAAATAAAGATATATCACACTTGTTACTCAAACAAGCTCAAAATGTTGAATATAGTCAAGTTTTGTCATTTATTCCTTCTGAGATAGGAAATAATGATTAAAAAATTATAAAAACTCTCAACATCCATTTATTTATTTATATAAAGAATCTCAACATCCATTTATTCCTTTTTAGTACCAGTAGCTCAATACTGTACCATAGTTTTATCGAGCACTTTTCTAAGATATGAAAATGTTTGACAGTCCAGTTTATACTGAGTTGTGGCATTGTTTAGATTCTGTGTATAATCATTTGAAAATAGAATCCAAATCCATAAAACATAATCAAACAGGTCAGGATTTATAGATTCTGACAGTCTCCCCTACAGAGCAAATGAGATGTGATTTCAAACATTTGCATATGTTCCCTCAACACTCCTTAAACATCAAACAATTTTTTTGCATGCCTCGGATGCAACATCTTTTGTTATTATACAGATATCCGCCTCATAGGACCTACATTTTCATATGTTGTGGCATCAGTATCAGCAGTGGGAGTAGTCCAGCCACATGTGGTGATAGAAACTGTGGGTTAGAATGCATCAGAATAACAAATGACTCTACAACTGCAATGTTTCTAAAAAAAGATTCAACGTTTAAAAACAACTGCAATAGCTCTGGGTATGCGCCTTCCATTCCTTCAAATCAGATGATTTAGAGTAGTAGTAGAATGCAAAGGTGACATATCAAATCCAGTGATTGCATGAAAAATTGGGAGGGCTAAACTTTGGTCATGGCCAAGTGGTCTTGTAATATTGTGGGCAGGTAGATATTGGAAGGCTTTCCCCTGACCATATGCAATCCAAATTAACATTTTCAGTTTTTCAGCACAAGTTGCCACCAGGATAAACCACATCAAAATCAACTGTTAGGCAATGATTGAAGCAGTCTCTGGTATGGAGAAATATCCTTGATGGCACCTAAGTCATTGCATTACTTGGTCACTATCATCTTGCCATGTTCTTGAGGGTTTCAATGTTGTTGCCTGGAAGGAGGACAGCTCCCTCTTGTTCCCACTACATCTTGGATTGCATTTGGTAAAAGAAAATCCATTCAATAACTAGCTGCGCATGATATTGCAAGATCACTTGGCCATGACCAAAGTTTAGCCCTCCCCATTTTTCATTCATTCAATCAAATCTGCATTTAACTACTACTCTAAATCATCTGATTTGGAGGAATGGAAGGTGTTCCCAGAGGTGATGCAAGTGTTCTTAAACCTTATATCTCTATATAATACTTCATTGATTTATCATTTTATATCTCAGTATGAACATATGTACAAATGAATATGACAAAATGCCATTTTGAGCTTATTTGAGTTGCAAATGTGACATATCTTGAAAATTATTATGGTAAAATGAGGCCACCTATAACCAGTCAAAAGCTAAATCAAAATCTGATCATTTTTTACATCTCCTTAGAAATGATATGACAAAACAAGATTATATACACCATTTCAAGCTCATTTGAGATGCATATATGTAACATACATTAAAAATTATTATGGTAAGTATTGGTTACCCCTGGACTGTCAAAAGCTTAAATAGAAAACTTAGATTTTTAGATATTATATTTAGAAATGTCAAATTATGTTTTTATATATTATTAGGGGAAATATGATAACAAGACTTCTGGTATATGAACCACTTTGAGCTCATTTGAGAGGCATATGTAAAGCCCGGTATACACCAATGGGGCAAGTTGGGACCTCCATAGACTTAATATTGCGTGGGACCTTTTGGGATTTTGCCCCATGAAGTCCGTGGGACTTTATGGGACTCCGTGGGATTTTGCCTCATCGAGTCCCACGAGGTCCCATGAAGTCCCACGTGGGACTCGGTGGGACTCGATGGGGCAAAATCCCAAGGAGTCCCATAGAGTCCCATCGAGAATGAACATGTTCATTCTTTCCATGGGGCATCGTGGGATTTTCGATCATATGACGTGTTGTGTGAAGCCCGACATACACCAATGGGGCACGGTGGGATTTGATGGGACTCCATGGGGCTTGATGGGACTCCATGGGACACGATGGGGCAAAGTCATCAAGGTCCCATGGGACTTTGTGGGATTTGATGGGGCAAATTGGGATTCGATGGGGCAAGATGGGACTCGATGGGGCAAGTGGGATTTTGCCCCATTGGTGTATACTGGGCTTAACATACATTTCAAATTATTATGTTAAAAATATGGTTATAGAAAATTCAGATTTTTAAGAAATGTCCAATAATTTTTCTTCATCTTATTTGGGGTATGATAAAACAAGACTATATGCACCATTCTGAGCTCATTTGAGATGCATATATTACATATCTTGAAAATTATTATGCTAAAATATGGTTACCCCTGGACCTTCTCAAGCTTAAATGAAAATTTAGAGTTTTAAGAATTATCAATCATTTTTCTACATCTTATTAGGGTTAATATGATAAAACAAGACTAGATGCACCATATTGAGCTCATTTGAGATGGATATACATGTATTACAAATTTAAAAAATTATTAAGGTGAAATAAGGTTACCCCTGGCCATTCAGAAGCGAAAATGAAAATTAAATTTAAAAAAAATTCCAATCTTTTTTTATTTCTAATTAGCAATATTATGACAAAAAAAGACTAGATGCACCATTTTGAGCTCATTTGAGATGGATATATCACATATTTTAAAAATTATTAAGGTATAATATGGTTACCCCTGGCCATTCAGAATCGAAAATTTGAATTTTTTTTGAATTCCAATCTTTTTTGTATATCTAATCAGCAATAATAAGACGAAACAAGACTAGAAGCACCATTCTGAGCTCATATGAGATGCATACATTGACTATCTTAAAAATTATTGAGGTAAGATAAGGTTACCCCTGAGCCAAATGCACCAAAAAAGTGAAATTTCGATAATTTTTTTCTCTAAGAATACATCAGCTACCAAAGCAATATTTTCTATCTGCGATAAACACTTATACTTCTATTACTGTGAATTTCTTTAAGACTATTAGTCATCACATTCTTGAAATACAGTAATGGACGTCCCATATCTGGCCCTTTAAATAATGAATTTTTCCTGGATAATTGGGTTAAAATGTATTTTCCTCACTAAATACCACTTCTAAAATGAGTTTTACATAATTTCAAGGCTAAAAGCAATCACCAAATGAAGTCATTTAAGCAAAAATACTTTAAAACCATTTTTATTTAATTTTTATAAGTTACCCCCTCCCCACCTGATAGGGGTGGGGGTCAGAGGTAAAAAAAATCAATGAAGACCACCCCTAACCACTTGCCCTGAAATCATTTTCCACTCAAATCATATGTTTCTACAAATGTGCCAAGTTTGTTGCTTTCCTGAAAAAGGCGAACAAAAAGGGGTTATATCTGGACATCTGACCCCGCTATTTGGTCCTCTTATTAGTACATGGCTGCATATTTTGCATAGCCATGCCCATTTTTTAGTTTGACCTATTTTGGGCACCAATTTTTTGGGGCCCCCTCGGGTCAAGATTGCAGTAAAAATCCCATTGACGACCAGTATAATGTTTCATTTCATAATATATTCATGGGCACAGATCTAGCTCAAAATAAGCATACGGTGACCACACCATTTTTGAGATAACTGAATCTGGAGAGAGCTACCACTGTAAAGCTACATGCAGAGCTGTCAAGTGTCCCGCGAATGGCGGGATTATCCCGCGAATTTGATCAAAATTTGGCTAATTCGCGTGTCCCGCAATGTCCCGCGAAGTCCCGCGAATGTCGGCTTTGACCTCCGCGAATTTTCAAAATTGTAACATTCCCCGAGGTTTTAAATAGTTGTGATTATCTTGTGATATAAGAAGCTAAGTTTTTGCGCTTTTGAGGAGTAAAGTTTACCTAATTTGAAAAGTGCTGCCAAACTCCCAGTGCATCAGATCATCGAAGACTGCTTTTGAAAAGAGCATATAGTCCATTTATAAAACTGTGATTTTGATCCAAATAACACCATATAGTCGGCTTCTCAAGTACCTATTATGCCGTTATTTGGTATCAAAGTAAAGAGGAAGAGTGCAATTTTCATTTTAATTACGAAAATAGGGATGTATGTCACGTATAGTTCCAACGTTGGCCTTTTTACTACGCGTGTCACGGCCTTCATCTAAGAACTGAGCAAATGTTAACAAACGCGAGTTCCAATAAATGAACACTGATATCTCGAAAAGAAACCTGACTCCCTATAATTTGATGTAGATTTATCAAACCCCGATATGAATAGGTACATTTTAATATGTAACACTATGGGGGAGTAAATGTTTCATAGTTGGTCACGAACACCATAAGTGCAAAGTATTGTTCAGAATTTTTGAATTTCGTGTTGGATTACGGTACTCACAACTAAAGCGTGGTTTTTTGATACAGGGTGGTCAAAAAATGGAAACCCTGCATTTTCCTTATATCTTTGTCACTTTAAGAGGTTACTCCCTGATATTTCACACATTTGTACATCATTATTTTTCTCCGACCCTATCATATTTCATGACCATCGGACTAATAGACACAATTTTACAGCACTAAGAATAACATGCTTCTGATTTGGCCATTATCGCGCTGAGGGCAAAACAGCACAGTTGTCAATAAGCCGAATGCATTCCTCAGCAGGTATGGCCTGAATGACACAAATGATCTCACTTTTGAGGTTTGCAATTGTCCTGAGGTCATTCTCATATACTCTATCTCTGCCATATCCCCACAGGTAGGGACATTTTAGACGATGAGTCAAGTTTCCTCATAACCCAATAGTGGCCACTGGGCATGTTCTTTAGAGTACTGTAACATTGTGACTATCAATCTGATGGTCGTGAAATAAAATAAGCTGGAAGCAAATTGAATGCAGATGTACAAAAGTGTAAAATATCAGGGAGTTATTTTTTAAAATGACAAAGATATGAGAAAAATGGTATTAGGGTTTCCATATTTTTGACCACCCTGTAGTTTAATTATATTTCTTTGCGTATTGTGTGGAATTGTGTTGACGTTTACTAAGCCAAGTGCATTATATTTGATAAATCAGTATCTGAAAGTTTGGTTTGAGAAATTTTACATTAAGCCCCAATCACGTAAATCCCTTTCAAGAATGTCTTGCGACATCCCGCAAATTTAGGTACATGTCCCGCAAATCCCGCGAATTTAGGGCACTTTGTCTAAAAAAATCTGTCCCTCTATGAAGTCTTTGGTGGTAACCCTGTTAACTGTCCCGCAATTAGCGTGTTTGTCCCTCGAATGGTCCCGCGAAATCCCGCGAATTTGATCAAAATTTGACCTATTAGCGCAATCACGCAAATCCCTTAAATGCCCCGCGAAATCCCGCGAATTTTTGGCACTGGGTCTAAAAATTCTGTCCCGCGAGAAAATCTTTGGGGGTTGACAGTACTGTACATGTACCTGTTTCAGAAAATTATTCTGCTCTACATAGTCTCAAAAATCACTCCACCATCTCTAAAAATTCAGTTTCTAACCAAACTTGTAAATGTTTCCTGATAGATTAGTACTTACCCTATCGAGAATAAACCTTGATTCATTTATCAAACACTAGATGGCGCTGTGATGGGACAGAAAAGGAGAAAAGGCTTTTTTATACAGAAAACCAAATAACCAACGGTAACCGCTAGTATCCCTACTCTGGACTATATTCCTCATGTCCGCCAGTGAAGAAATTTTCGTTTTTGATCGAGAGAGACTCTATCACTTTTCAAGATGGCGGTTGGATTTAAAAGGGGATTCCCCGTTTGACTGGCCCGGAAGTGGCCCGGAAGTACCAATAAATGGAGGAATTTGACAGTTGATATAAGTTGTAATCATAGTCAAGCAAAAGAAATCGTAGTCAAGCAAAAGTAATCGTAGTCAAGCAAAAGTCGAATCATCTTATCCAGTGCCAGGACTAAAGTCCTGGCACTGGATAAGATGATTCGACTTATTTTTAGTATAAAATAATTTTTTATTTTCCTACACAGGTCACTTCCTGGTTTCCCTTTTAAAAAGAGAAGACTTTGGAGATCTCAAAAGCACAGTCGAAAAGAATGTTCTGGCGAAAGGGGATTGGGATTCCAAAATTCTTCAAGTTGGGAAACCCGAATGAAAAAAATGAAGTTACCTTTTTTAATTCCCGAATCTCTCTGAAATTCGCTCATCTTGGTGACTGTAAATTGCACAGCTGTATTCAATAAAGTCTTTTCATATTCAATCAGCCTCAATTTTAAGTGCATATTTTATTTTTAACGTTCAATTTCATCATTTTTTGTCGACTGGTACGATCTGGCCGAGCAAATGGCAAGATGGATGACCCTTGATTTCACCTTGACCAATGGTGATCACGTCATCAATATTATCAAAATGGCAGTTTCAAAATTTTCTAAAATCAATTCAAATAATATTATGTTAATTTCTAGCGAGTAAACCTATCTCATAGTTTTGCTATTTCAAAATAAGATAAAGAAATGCGTTAGGAATTCGCTTTTATCCACATGTCATATCGACATGTAGTATTCGTAAACTAGACGATGAAGATTACGAAAGCGGGGGGGGGGGGGGTTTGAAATGACGTCACTTCTCAAAAGGAATTCTCAAGGAGCTGCATAGCAACTGTGGAATAAACAATTGCTGATTGCTAAAGATCAGTCCCTTGCAAAATACTGAGTAATTACTTATTTCTACGGTTCATTACGAATCACTTAATAATTATCTTACGAATGAATTCTTACATTATAAATTAACATCTCATAAAATATGTCGAATTTAATCGGTAGGAAACACGAAGAAATACATTTTTAACGATCATTTTTTAAAGTAGGTCAAATTCTTTAGAAGGGTAAACTTCCCGGGAATTTTAGATTGTCACGTCTTGTTTGAGAACAAAAACGAGACCTTGCCAAAGGCCCGTATTTTAGCCAGGCGACCTGTTCAAAGTAAATTTTGTATTATAAATCGCATTTCAGAACAATTTAGGAAACAATATTTTCTATCTACGTCGATTACAAAGAGCATGGGCTCTACCACTGATAGAGCCCATGCAAAGAGCTACAAAGCATCTGAGGTACGTAAATTTATATGAACAACTGAGTCAATAGGGATAAATAGCCCAACGAGAGTCCGCGCTTGGATCTTGATTCCAATCCTTGTATTGATATCTTATCTCAGATCTCGTTCGAAGAACGTACTTGACGTCCGTGCTCAAAAGGGCTCTGCCCGACCGTTACGGTGGCATTCTGGCATAATGTCGGCACTGAAATTCCAATACGGGATACCGGAATATCTGAAGAATCAATTAAACTTACCAGAAATCGCAAGATTAAGTGTTTAACATCGATATAAGTGAAGAAAAGTAATCTTTTTCACATCGGAAATGTTTACATTTTGTTTTTATCTCCTTTTTGAAGAGTTAAGGGCGCCACCTGGCAAGCGGAAAAACTTGGCAAAAAATGAAAATATTTTTCTTTTTTTCAATTTGAGGAATGACAACGTTAGATAGCTTGCTGTAGATGTCTTAATTCAATGCAGGAATTATCGATAATCAGGTAAGACATTGATAAATCATGACTATAAACTGTGTTTGTATGAAAGGGACCAAATTCACCACCAAAAACCACAGGAAGTTGTATCAAGACCTTTTTGGGCCTTTTTTCTCGCCTTTATGAGAGGTGGGGGGGGGGCAAAAGCCCATAAAGGCCCAAAAAGGTCTTGATACAATTTCCTGTGCCAAAAACGTTGGCAAAATCTAGACTCAGTCAAAGAAATGTACGAATTCGCGAACGTAGACCCAAAACCGCGGTATTCGGTAACGGTGAGGTATTGAATTGCAGAGCTGTCAAGTGTCCCGCGAATGGCGGGATTATCCCGCGAATTTGATCAAAATTAGGCTAATTCGCGTGTCCCGCAATGTCCCGCGAAGTCCCGCAAATGTGGTTTTGACCTGCGCGAATTTCCGAAATTGTTGCAATCCCCTATATTGTGATTATCTTATCTTATATAAGAAGCCAAGTTTTTGCACTTTTGAGGAGTAAAGTTTACCTAATTTTAAGTACCTAGCATGCTGTTGTTTGGTATCAAAATAAAGAGGAAGGGTTCAACTTTCATTTTAATTACGAAAATAGGGATGTAGGTCAAAAATAGTTCTAACGTTGGCCTTTTTACTATCCGTGTGGCCTTCATCTCAGAACTGAGCAAATGTTAGCAAACGCGAGTTACAATAAATGACGCTGATATCTAGAAAGGGTTTGTAGAAAAACCGGGTACCGGGTAGTTAATCCTCCATGCTGGGTTCAAACTTGGTACCCGGTACCCGGTCAAAAAACGGGTACCCAAAAAACGAAAAATACGAATATAACATAATTAGATTATGAGAAAACGTGTAAGATTTGTTTTGAATTCACAAAAATGTATGTATCCTTCAAAATTGAGCTAGAAGCTTCAAATAAAAAGCATATTTAAGGCTCTTTTCTTCCTCTATCGTCATGGCCATATTTTCATTGGTTATGGGGGGGGGGGTGCGATCGCACCATCTCCTGGCTACACCTATGACATTGTAAGACATAACAATTTACAATTCAGTGGACATTTTGTCGAAAATTGGGATAACTTAAATTATGATTAATATTCAAAATCATGTAAATTAACACACGTCACCTCCCTGCTAAAGCAACGATAGCTATTTACAGATTTAAATCATAATCAAAACAATTCACGTACCAACAAACGAACTATTGAAAATAGAGTAAGATTGATTTGTCTTGTTTTTCAAATCGTCTTACAATGTCATTGGCGTAGCCAGGAGGGGGTTCGATCGCACCCCCCCCCCCCCCCCTTCATTACCAATGGAAATATGACCATGATGATAGAGGACGAAAAGAGCCTTAAAATGCTTTTTCTTTGAAGCTTCTAGCTCAATTTTGAAGGAAGTTACATACATTTTTGTAAATTCAAAACAAATCTTACACGTTTTCTAATGATCTAATTATGTTGTATATTCATATATTTCGTTTTTTGGGTACCCGGTTTTTTCGACCGGGTACCAAGTTTAAATCCAGCATGGAGGATTTACTACCCGGTACCCGTTTTTTTCTACAAACCCTATCTAGAAAAGTAACCCCATTCCCTATAATTTGATGTAGATTAATCGAGCCCCTATATCATGGGCTTTCAATTGAAAGAAAATGCCTACAGTATATGAATAGGTACATTTTAATATATATATGGGGGTAAGCGTTTCATAGTTGTTCACGACGCCAGAAATGCAAAGTATTGTTCCGAATTTTTGAATTTCGTGTTAGATTACGGTACTCACACCTGAAGCATGAAGCATAAAGTTTAATAATATTCCTATATGTATTTTGTGAAATTGTGTTGACGTTTATTTAAGTTACAATACAACGGTGCATTGTATTTGATTAATCAGTATTTGGAAGTTTGATTTAAGTACTTTTACACGCTTCTACATAAGTCCCAATCACGCAAATCCTTGAATGTCCCGGGACATCCTGCAAATTTAGGTGAATGTCCCGCGAAATCCCGCAAATTTAGGGCACTTTGTCTAAAAAATCTGTCCCTCTATCAAGTTTTTGGCGTTAAACCTGTTAACTATCCCGCATTTAGGGTGTTTGTCCCTCGAATGGTCCCGCGAAATCCCGCGAATTTGAGAAAAAAAGTTGGCCTATTAGCGCAATCACGCAAATCCCTTAAATGTCCCGCGAAATCCCGCGAATTTAGTAGATGTCCCGCAAAATCCCGCGAATTTTGGGCACTGGGTCTAAAAAATCTGTCCCGCGAGAAAATCTTTAGGGGTTGACAGTACTGGAATTGCGGTAATACCGGCACCAGTTTTCAATACCATTTGGAACACCACCGACCCTCCATGCGATTCCCTGTAACCAGTACATGTATATGTAAAAATAGAAACATTTATCTCGAGTCTCTGGCCAAATTACACTGTGGCCGAAGTTACTGAACACAGCTGGCTCAAAAACCTGACTTCTGACTTCAGTCAGCTCAGTAGAGCATGTAGAGTTAGGCCGAAGAATAAGGTAAATTTTCACATGTCCTAACTTTTTAGGGCTCTCGCCAGGCTTTTAGACTGTGGTGCAGCACCACACTCTATTTAGCTCCCTCCACACCCTATTGGCAAATCATGACTGTTTCCATAGTCTAAACTTGACTGAATGTATAATAATAACATGTGATTTATCACGATTGAATTGTTGTTCTGAAGATGTTAGTACCACACTCTAAATATTTCCTGTTGAGAGCCCTGCTTTCACAATTCACATGCTGCTATCTATTGCAAGACTTATGCCTGGCGAAACCGTCACCATGTTATTAAGTATTTTTAAGTTTCGCAAGCATCCTGCCATGACTGTGGTAGTGTTATCGTGAAACCATTGTCACAGTCATGTCAGGCTTTAACAATTTATCAGGCTTTAACATTACCATGGTCATGACAGGCCTTTCAATCATTGTCACGGTGATATCAGGCTTTAACATGACCACGGTTATGACAGACTTGCAACCATTGTCACGGTCATATCAGGCTTTTAACTCTTTCATGACTGAAAATTTTTGGGAAAATGGAAAGAAATGAAAAACTAAAATGTAAATGAATCTAGAAGCAAGAAAAGGAAGCAACAATAAGTTATATATCATGATCTATAGTTCTGCGTTTTCAGATTTTTAAATTGAAGTCTCGATAAAAAATTAAATGCTTAAATAATTCCATTTTGAAAAAAATCCCAACTGCACCATCTTGAATTATGACGTCACAATGACACTATCTCATTTGCATATTCACATATTTTTTCCAAAATATAAAGTATGGGCCCAGCCCTTCAAAATGATATATAACTTATCGGGTGTTGCTTCTTTTCATGCTTTTCATTTTCGTTTCAGCTTTTCATTTTTTTCCGTTTTCCCCAAAATTTATCAGTCACGGAGGAGTTAAAAATATTACCACGGTCATGACAGACCTTGCGATATAATAGAGCATTGTCACGGTTATACCAGGCTTTCACGATAACACTACCACAGTCATGGCAGGATCCTTGCGAAACTTAAAAACACTTAATAACACGGTGACACATGTTAAAAGATTGTTATTGTCACGTGATTAGTTTGTTGTTTTTCTCACGATTTAGCATGTGGATCAATTTGGATAGGTTGGTATGATTATTTGACAATTACCACTGCATAATTCAGTAATTACAGGTGCCCCAATCTATAATCATCGGATAATCACTTTGACTACTTGTAGTCTCACCTCCCTTGATGCCCCATACCGTAAAAGTTCATCATTGATGACCCTTAAGGCCCGGTCACACCGCCCGGGCGTTGCTGGAGCGTTCCTTGAACGTTGAAAAAATTCATCAACGCTCGTCAACGCGCACAAAATGGGGAAAAAACAAATACACGGGCATTTGCTTAGCGGTGCACCGCTGAAGCCGGCGTTGCTTTAGCGTTGGTTAAGCGGTTGCGAGCGGTTGCGAGCGGTAGCTAGCGTTTGTTTAGCGGTAATGCGAGCATTGGTATAGCAGCGTTCTGCGCATGAGAGCGTTGCCTCGGCGGGGGTATAAATAGCAGCAGCGTTGGTTTAGCAGCATATCGCGTTTGACTACTGAGCTGAACGGATCTATTCTTCTCCACGTATTTATAGCCAAATTCTGGTCCCGCTCCGACACCTCTATACCAACGCCAAAGCAAAGTTCATCGCCGCCATGGAACGCTGCCACAATGTCCGACACCGTTCCAACAACCCCATGTACGCTGATAAAACGCTAACAACCGCTCCACCGACGTTTGTGCACCGTTTAATCGCCGCCCGGGCAACGCTGGCGAAGCAGCAGTGGTCCAGCGTTTAAGATTTCTGCGTTGGTCTAGCGGATTCAAGGGTCCACGAACTTGCGTCTAGCGGTGCCAAACTTTGACTGGGCGTTGGTGGAGCGGTGATAAACTTTGCCAGGGCGTAAAATTGTCCCTTTTTCAACGCTCGCAATAATTTGAGGATGGCCACTCGAGAAACATCCGCGTTGGCCGAGCGTTTACAGCGTTGCTTTAACGGATGCCAACTTTTGTTAAACGGTGGTGAACGTTTACGAGTGTTGATGATTTTTTTCAACGTTCAAGGAACGCTCCAGCAACGTTTAGGCGGTGTGACCGGGCCTTTGCTTAGTTTGCACAAAGCTTTCTCCTGAGAGACATCTATCTAAAGATGGCTATGTGCAAGTTAGATGACCCATAGTATAAACAAAACTGTCAAAATGAAAATGAGCCAATATCTATTCATTTTCCTTAGTCCTCAATGTTATCAAAATGACTATCTTGTTAATCACATTTATATGAAAGATGATTGATGCCATGGAACGCTGCCACAATGTCCGACACCGTTC